TTTTCATCAACGCCTCTGCGAATTTTCTTTATATAGGGGGGTATTAGTTGGAGGCATTTTTGTTTGTAAAGTTTGTGGGAGAGAAAGTAATGGTATTAAACATTCTGCACTCTCTAATCGATTTAATCTATACTTGAAAATGGACAAAAAGATGTTTCGGAATATTTGGAATAGATGGATAATTTGAAATCAATTTTATTCTGAGTACGTCCTCGGACATCATTTATTGGGTTTGTTTAGACGGTTATTAACACTTGCAGGCTATCCGTTTTATATCGTTAAACCGCTTGAAGAAGCTTGCGGAAAGTTTTTACAAAGTTGATTATCAGTTTAGTTAATTATCAGTTTGCACAGATTTAATCCAATTTAATTCAATTCTAAATTCGATATTCGTAACCAGTGTAAATTTGTATAAACATTCCGCTCCCGCGCTTGAAAATAGTTGTAAAGTGTAAGTGAACAGCCTATAAATTTCCCAGTGCTCGGTAAAGGCCTACTCTGTAAAGAGGGTATCAAGACATAGTCCATCACGCGACCCCTCTGTGGATTGGCGGACCTTACATATTTTCGAAATATTCTTTTTATTATTTCGAAAATACTCAGGTTTCCTCACGATTTTTCCTTCACCACCAAATACATTTTAGATTAGCACTTAAAATTAACAATTTCATTGGTGCTGGCAACGGTGATCGAACTCAGGTTGTTCGAGTAAGTTGAGTTAAAGGCGAGCCACCCGGACACTGAACTATCACGGCTCATATCAGGAAATAATTGCGTCGTGAGATATTTCACAAACAAGAAAATCGCGTGCATAGTCGCTGCTGAACGAATGTCCAGGCTCGTCCGAGGATGTACCAGGGCCTCATAGAAGACCGGCGTCAAGTGCAAACATCTGGACTCGAAACAACAATTTATGGAATACACAAATTACGTCCCGTGTAGGTATCTAACCCAGAACAGGCGTGTTACGGCAGTTAGCAAGGTAACCTAATAACACAAAGTGTGTTAGTTAGGTTGTAAACATGTCCCTATATATCAGGCATAAATGCGAGACAGAACAGAGACTGAAAACTCATCGATGCAAGCCGCCGAGTTCGTACCCTGTGACTTCAGATTTTAAATCAGACCTCACTTTGAGGGTTAACCAAAGAACCAAAATATAAATAAATAATTTCTATTAGTTTAGTTAGACAAAAAGAAATTATTCATATAATTTTTTCTAACCCTACGCCGTGTTTTTGCATTCACATGACCGCAGTCAACACAAAAACGTAAGCCAGAATGCGACGAGAGTAACATTACACGAGAAGCTGATAAAACGAATAACAATATCTATCAGGAAACATTATTTTATTGGTCTAATAAAACGGCGTTATCGACAAAATGCAGGGATACCACATAAAATTTGACTTACTGCGAATTAGCGCAGTTAAAGTTTGATGCACGAATTGCAGGCCCGTCGTAAAACCAAAGCATTCGCACCGGCAAAGCGCTTCTTGCTTTAAGAGTTCGATAACATTACAACATAAGCAATTACGAGGCGATATGGCCGGAGCTTGCCGTTCCTTTCGAATTTTCTTTATCGTGATATAATAATATAGTATTGGTATTATATTATATTCTACTAATAAATACATTTTAATTTTAATTCTAATAAAAACATAGGGGCAAAGTAATTTATTAGCAACTTAACAAATAATTAAAAATTCCTACAGTATGCCAAGGTGAAGGCAAGCTAAAACGCGGTTCATTTGAGGCGGCACCAACTGGTAAAAGATTTGGCCATTTAGACACCTAACCTCACCAGAGTGCACACAAAAGTATAATAATTCCCCTTTAAGTATTTTGTGAGGCTGGCAGGAAGTTAAAATTATACAGTAGTAATTCACGTATCAATAAACGTCGCATTTGTTTATAAATTGGGATCATAGAAGCGATGTACTATGCAATTATCGACGTGTTTCACAACTCATACGATATAGCAAGACACGACCATACGGGTATTATTCGCAAAATCTCGAACACAGCGATCGCCGCTGACAAGCTGGCCACTATTGAAATAGACGGCTCCGCTGCGACCGCGTGTCCAATTTATTGATCACCATTTATAGCTAATAAATGTGCATGCTTACGTGTAATAATAACGAAGTGGGAATCTAGGTGAGCAAATGTCCTTCCCCCTGTATGGCTAAGTGGCGTGCGTGGTAGTTATAATGTATGCATCGTTGAAAGATGCTCCACTTCACATATACTTGGAAGTTTGCAAACTGCAACTAAACACAAAAAACCTAATCAGACGAACATATGATTCCTATGTGAAAATTCTTTCAGTAAAACAATATTGAGTCAATCGAGTAAATGGATTAAAAACGTAATTGAAACTGCACATTTCTTTGTAGAAGAAAAATAACTTAATTCATAGAATCTGAGAGTGCTATTGAACCATATCAGACTTATCATTGGCTTTTAACGAGACAGTATAATAAATGGTTGCAAGTTACGAAACTTAATCGAATTAAGAAATAAATGCTTTCTTCGATTAAGTTTATTTATATATATGAAGAAACTTAAATGAATAGAAACTATTTTTGTTCGTATAAAGGAATTTTTTTTCTACCCCTGTAACAAAATGTCCTTACTAACCTTATTAAAAGTAGACGGAAGAATTATAAGAGTTATTATTTACATTTTACCTTTTTTAAAATGACTGCGAGGACATGCCACGATATTCACTGGGCATACATTTTACGATGTAATTCTTCGTGAAGTAAGATGTAACTCTACAATTATACCTCTCTACTTCCTACTCTATATCGAACAAAGAGTATAGGTGGCTAAGATAATCAGTGTGCGCTGTGTTGAAAAATCTTATTAACGGCAATCTCAAATAGATAAACGACCCATGCTTCCGCATATTTTGTATAGCAATGAGATTTCAATCTTCGCTGGTATCTATATCGATACGAAATAATTAATTGCAATAAGCTCCTGCTCGTTTAAATTACCTTCATTCCACTGTATCAATCGCGGTGGCAGTTCAGTTATCGTTTCTGATGTGGCCACAGCAACGATAAGATGTTTACTTTAGCTGTTTAGAGTGGGAAATCCACACCGGACCTTTAAATTCCAGGACGCTGGAAGACAATCTCATACGACAGGTCCAAAATTCACTTGCATACATTTCACAGTTATCACACATTATGCCTATAAAGTTTCTCCACTAAAGATGTCATTGAATCGTCTCTAAGTAATTGCAACATGGTATCTCAAGAATGCTCTAGCCTCTCTTCACGCTCATATATCCCCTAACGACGGACGAGTGATTGATTTTGTCGACACGCCACAAACAGCGACCCGAGAGTGCAATATCAACTATTACAAACAGAATACTGTTATGCAATTAATAATTACAAAAGAGGAAATAAACTATGGGCCAATCGTTTCCAATGCAATCGGAAAAGATTAAATAAAATTCCCATTCTGACGACCCAATAAGACGTAGGTGGGAGATTAATAATCTTATTGATACGATAGTGGGTGTTAAGGCTAGTTGTTACTTTATCTTATTGTTTCCTGTGCTCACGTTGCACCTTATATTAAATTATCTTTTCGATGTTTTTCGTTACTAAATTGCGAACTCGTGACTTCGAGCTTTGAACTTGCGGTCAACGAACTCCTTTACAACCTTCTATGTCGCAATAGCACTACAAAGGCAAGTGAATTTTCCTTCAGATAATGCATTTAACTCTGCTTAATTTCACTGATGATGCTCACTGGTGAAGCCTCTAGTCGACTCGTAGACATATCATATTGGTGCTAAAGTGTCAATCGACGTTTAATTTTTTTCATTAATAATGTAAGGTATTAGCGAATATTAATAAAAGAAATCATTCTTTCATTTAAAGCAATGACCAGAAACCTACATCGATATCTATCTTTAAGGCACGAGCTTTCTATGAGGTGACTTATGAATCCGCATAATGCCGCTCTAAAATACCGACAGAGTTCGCTAATGAGCGATAGATACGGCCCTCGATGGCCAGCCGTGAGCACGACGCAGCGGTAATGCGACAACGAACTCTGATTAATATTTACTGCTAAGAACAATGTCATCGGTGAACATAAATATAATAATGTGTATTTAGTGGAACATGTCTCTATCGACAAACGAGATTCTATGCCACATAGTATATACATATACATTTCGAGTTAGAAGGTTAGAAAGTTGAGTGTGATAAGTATGAAAATATGTTTACATATTTTTTTCTTTAGGTTTATTTTGCCCTTATACACATTATTTTGCCTTTGCACACAGAATATCGGTAATATCGGTTATTCCCCGACTGGAATCTACGATAATTAGTATTTGAAATTGCCCGAATCTACGATAATTGGTATTTAAACGTGCCTCAATCAATTTCATGATATTCTAGTAGATGGGTGCGCCCGTAAGGTTGTATTTGCACCGTAAGGTTGTATTTGCATTCAACCGGACGACGAATAAAGTACGATAAATTCCAACATCTTACATATTCGCAATTTCGCCACTGGCAATTCGATGTAACATAGGCACCTGGCTACCGTATCTACGCAAGCTGTTGATACATTAAGCAAATATACATTCAAGATAAAATGCACGAACAACATACGTTTTCTCTTTGTTTGTTGGGCTTGAATCTAGCGTTATTGTACCTTACTCCGACCACTCAGTATTATGTTCAATATTCGCCACAATACTGTAAGTTAAAGCGTTTTACTGCGTTCAATCTATTTGCGGTACCACGAACTAAATGGACGAAACGCAACTTTAAGGTCCACAGCGTATGTAATTCCATATCACCGTTTGACCCTTGTGATAACTCCTGTCGAGAGCACCCTCACTGATTGGCGAAACTTCATTCAGTAATTTATTATCGGCCACGTCGACGCTATAGCGTAAAGCTGCGGCAGACGGAACATTATTGAACCTACTTCAAACCATTTCGAATATTACGCATCTATCTCGAGTGTCGGGAGGCATTAAGGATAATGGCGACAGATGCGGGTCGGGCCTTGTCCGTTGAAGTCTGGCCACCCGTGAAGGGACCCTTCAGCGGTGCTGGACCCACATAACCTGTCGGCGTGGCTGACCACCGCGCCCGCGCCCTCTGGGGCGACACGCTTCGCGGTAATCGAAAATTGTAACTGGTTAATTGCGGCGCCGACAGCGCCGACGCAACGGCCGCACCGAGCCGGTTGTTATCGCCGAATGACAGTAGCAAACGTTTAACATGATCGCACATCACGTTGGCGCATAAATATTAACATTAATAACATTTCATGATAAATGCGACCCGTCTACGAGCTGGAAGTCCGCTTTTGAAAAGCTAAACATCGATATTCGCCATACTGTATGATATCACTTCCTGAGAACCTCGATGTAATGAACTTTAGACATAATAAGTCGACCAATCGTGTCTGTACATTGAATACGGACAAACTTTCTACACTACTCGAAATGAATCGAAGTTTTCACAAGTGCTCGTTGCCTAATCAAAGATCCGAGAACTGAATGGATTATAAATTAATGTTACTACAAAATGCTCTCGATACAAAACAAAACGCTTTCGATACGTAACAGCTAGTCGGCGGGTTGCACAATCGCAATGTTTATACGGATACGAATAAATCTTTGTACATTTTATTCGAACGTTCTCGAAACATCAGTGCTACGTACGGGACGGACTCGAATCAAGGGGAAAATGCGTCGGGATTTGTATGTGGAACGGTGATGCTTCTCAATTAAAATATATCAATAAACATTCCCTTCGTGACGATAATAAATCAAGACCGTGGTCCCGAATGGGGCCATATATCATCGGAGCGGGCACCGCCTCTGTTGGGAGTCGCAAATCACCGTGTTCCCACTACGTATGCAGATATGCCACACGCAGGTGCGTCCGTGAAATTAACAACGGAGCCTCCGCGAACGGAGGCCTTCAAGTGAGCACTTACGTTCGCAACATGCGATCGATTGGGGAGAAAGTTAATTTATGTAACTTAGTAGTGGCAATAGAACAGGGCCGACATTGATTGGAATGATCGATGGTTATTCGATGGTTTTCTTTTTATTGACGACACGCTCCGTCGGAACTTGGCGGCGTCTGTGGCACCGTGCGACATCGATTCGACATTAAGGAGGCAGACACAAAGAATTTCTTATTTTCTCAATTGGCGTTCAATCAAGGGATCCGTTCAATGGAAACCGATATACAATCTATCGGCTGCTTACGTATCACTTTCTCACGCGCCCCTCTGAGATCCAGGGCACGGTAGTTGCGCCGTTTTATGGCGGACACTAAGATCTCGTTCTTGGAAATCACAATCTTCCGTGCAAACAAGCGCTCGGATATTCGATATAGTTAAACGGATCTACGTGGAAATTTAGACCTCTCAGCTAGGCTACCACTGAATTAGTGTTTTATCACTTCGTCGAGTAGTTGTTATATGGAAGGCGATATAAATAATTACTTGCAGCTAGCTATCTTGATTAATTACAGCAATAAACTAAAGCTACATGCAGTGGAGTAATTAAACTAAGGCTGGTTCAATAAAGTTTTAATCTAGTGGTACGAAGAGGAATTTCGCGCAGGCTACATCAGTAATTTAGACTACGTCTCCTGATTAGAATGACTGACGAAGCCATAACACAACAAGAACCTTTTGTAGAATTGAATTGCGTTTTCGCTTTATGCGATTTTATCGTCAAATTTAATTATTAACAAATACATTTGAAATCACAATTAATTTATATTCATAGCATTTCCGACTATCATTTTCTACATCGTTTGACACATCTCAGCGATGTTAGTAGTTAGTAGTAAGATGATGATTGAAAATTCAAAGCATCATCACTAAAAAAATTTTATAAAAGATAAACGCCTGATATTAACTGATCATCGGATATCACAGATAAAGTTAGATAACACGAAACGCAACAATTAGATGAGACAGAAACCAAATATTTTGCAAATTTTGACATATTTCGATAACGAAAAGAGTCCTTAGAAAATGTAGCTATTCAGAGAGGCTATGACTGTGCCGATAACAAGTAAAACCCATTTGATTATCGCCTAGAACTCACCATATATTCGGGAAAGACGAACTAACAAACTTTCTGTCTGCTTCAAAAACACATAAAAGCAGTGTTATAAAAACAAACAGAGCCGAGGTAGGGTCACACGATATCTTTATAGAGACGCTTCACATACACCGAATAGGACATGAGCAAATATGTGTACTTCATAATTATAAAAAAAAAGCAAAATAGTAATTATATGCAACGAAATCCATAAAAATTGTCTGTGAACGTATAGTCATACAAATAATAAAATTAGCGAAGGTGAAGTGCTGTTTTTGGATTGATTTAGATTTCTATCTCAAAGTCACGGTTTCGAAACTTGAAGGAGTACCTCGAAGGAGTAAACCGGTGTTATTCCTATACTGCTGATATCTATAACGTTTGTGACTAAATAAGCTAGGCAAAAGAATGATAGGCTAAGCTGTTTTATGTACCCCGTTTGGGCCGAGACGTGTGAGCTTATTTCAAAGCACTAATCGCAATAGATTAGTTCCTGTCGCTTGCTGAACGCAATACCGTGCGAACTTCCCGCAACGTCTAGCTACCGTTAGTTCCAAACACCTTCCTTAGTCGATTAAAATGTAACGCTGTTTTTTTTTTGTGGAAAGGTGGAAGCCGCCTGAAAGGATCTGGCGAGGCTTCAGGCTGCAGGGCGGGCGGGGGGCTTGCGCGGGGGTGCGGGGGCGGGGGTCGCGCACGCACTGGGCGTGGCGGGCGCGCGCCGTCGCGGGCGCAGAGCCGTCGCGGATGCTGCGACGCGCACACCTGTCGCGACGCAGTGACAGAGCGCACGCGCAAGCGCACACGCACGCGCGTGAACCACGAGAACGCGTACGCGCCTCCGATCCGCGCGATAGTCCGCGTGAAAGTTCAGTGCCAGTGGTGTTTGTACACAAGCCCGCCGCCCCCCGGTCGCCAGGATCATCCCCAGGACGGTACGTTGCTCCCACATTGACGGTCGCGAAACCCGCTCTGCGTACTGCGCGGATTTTGAGGAACAGCTGTATGTTCGAACGATAGAATCACGCCGATTTTGCGTGTGTTTTGCACTTTAGCGGAAATGTTAAAGCATCTCGTCCGATGGTGTCTAGTATCCTCATGTTATCCATGAAGATAAATCGATTCATAAATAAACTTTGCTTAAAATATTTTAAATTAGCTTAATAAAGCAAAATTATTTTATTTCTCATCCAACTTTTGTCTGCAATTATTATTCGCCATGTTTGATTTAACATTTGCCTACTGTTAAAACGGAATGCCTCTCAAATTCATTTATTCCGCGAGGATCTTTACCAGGAAAATGTCTGGCCGTATTTATAATGGTAACGGCATCAGCATTCCTAACATTAACCAATGTAATTACACTTTAAAATTTTAATAGACAATACGCCGACGATCAACGAATATCAAGTAAACTCAAATGGTAGTTTGCTTTCTCGTTCCATTTACTCGTAAATTAAACATGTTGAACAATATTTAAATTAAGATAATGTCAGTTGTGACCATTAAAATCAATCATCAAAGATCATAATTGGCATTGGCTTCAGTAATTATTATAAACGTATATTTAAACGTTCGATAAATAAACACAATGAACAGAAATTAAAGGGGACGTTTAAACTGGAAATTTTCACGATATGTCGCCTCATACTGGTACCGTTGATGGCCGCAATTATTTGAATAGGTGTATCATTCGTTACCGTCTTTATTCATACTGTCCGCCGTCAAGTGAATGACGAAGGATCGTCGTGTACTCATAATGGGCGTATTTACCTCGCTCGGTACGTGAGGCGGCGTCGTGGTTTTTGGCCAAATCGGACGCGTACAAGCGTTCCATATGCGAACGGAATACGAAAGAGGCGAACCGGTGGGTGACATTGGAGTCGGAGAGAGGTTGTCTCGCCCGCAGGAGCGCTAAGGACGCCCGTGAATAACGCCCGAGTAACAGTTACGCGAGCGGTTACACCCGTTTCCCCGTAAAACGGTTTGCATTAGCATTTTAAGAGGCCGCGGCCCATAATCGATCGGAGCTACCAAGCGGCGACACACCGAACGATCGACGGCGTGGAATCAATCGACGCATTAAGGTTCGACACCCGTCGACGGGGCGCGACGCAATGAATGGGCCGGTTATCATCATCCTCGGACATAAACCGAGAGTAATTACGCACGGGCCTCCGGCTCCTGAAAGCTACTCGAGCGGCGGCCGAGTTGCGCAACGACGTGGGAAAAGCTTTCGGGTGAAGGGCGAAGCGAGAGCAAATAGTCACAGTGGCGAAGATATCGTGCCGGTCAAGGAAACTGTTGAAGAAAAACCTTTGGCACAGCGAAAAAGAGCGTTCTCCGAACGGCTAATTCGATTTACGGGCGATTTTAATATTCAATCTCCAAATAGATTTGGTTAGTGGAGATAGAATTTTGAGGTAAGTACAACGGGGCTAATGTTAAATACCTATATTCGCTAGTAAGCAAATCTACCTGTAGATAGAATATTGAAACCGGCCGTTATCGAGTGCGCTAATCGATGCATAGATAGAACAACGATAGACCGGCGATAGTCCCCGTTTGGATTACGTCTGAGCGGTTCCTTTGCAAACGTTCGATTCATCTGCGACGGGTTAGAACTACCGCATAACTGCGGAGCATTATTTCGAGTCGTTCGCCGGAACGGACCAGCGGCCGCCGCTTCTCGTAATCTATTGCACGCAATAAGTGCGAAGCTCCACTTCGCTCCCCTTGGCCGAGATGTAAACGCCCCGTCCGGGGCGCAATTATGATCGAAACGCCATAAATGATATTTGTTCTCGGAACATGTCCACGGCGACCTTTGCAATTCCAGCGCTCTCTAGCTCGTTAAACTCGAGTGTAAATAAGCGTGCAAAGCTCATTTCCCAGCAATGCGGAGAGCGCGCGATATAATGGATATGCTGTTTATGATCCAAGCAGTTGTAAAGCTACCTATACTAAAACTATTTATTGCGAATAATTCGGACGACTGGTGATTAAGAACATTGTTTCCTGTCGCTTTTTTGTTTCTTCTTTCTCCCGCTCTTATCCTAACTAGATAGGGTCGCCACAACATGTGATTCATGTAGTTATTGGTATTGTTTAGGATCTTTACGACCTATCTGACGTCATGTCATGTCTGGGAATGAACTCCAGAAAAATTACAAAATTACAAAATTCTGTAGGTCACAGAAATAATTGTCCCGGACTCGAACCCACGAACCCCGGCGCCGAAGCCAAATTAGCAGCTTCGGCACTGAGGTCTCTGTTGCTTAATCACTCAAATATCCCGAAGGCAGAGCCTTGACGGGGCGCTCGTTGGTTGGGGAGACGTCACGCGAAGCTTCCACGAGGGTCTGTTTAAAATTTGGAGGTATGCATGTCGACGTGAGCAAACAACGGTCGGGCCGCTGGTGCTCCCGTCTGGCACAAGTGTCTCGTATTTGCTCACCACAAACAGCGCTCCCGGTGCGGCCATACGGGCACGCGAGACGGATAATTCTCAAAACATCACGACAAATATTGTCATGTCGCACAAACTAATGGTGAGTCAAGGTATTGGCTTCGGCGTCGGGAGTCGTGGGTTCGATTCCCACACGGGACAACTATTTGTGTAACCCACAGATAGTTGTTTCGCATCTGGGTGTTTGTCCACGTGAAATTTATGTATGTAAAAACGTCCTTGCGACACAGGAAGTTATCCTAAAGTGAGGGCAATGTTTTTAAAAAAGAAAAAAAAGAAAATGGATGTACACGCACCGCTTGCCTTGCAGCGTTTTCGATCACGGGTCGCGACGACGAATAAAAATGCCGATAATGTATCTATGTTTCGAGTTTCATCGGAACGCACAAAACACCAATGTCAATTCGATAATTTGAATATGAATGGCCCTTGTATTCGGAATAGAAATCGGTTCTTATATTAAACTGGGCGTCCACTCGAGTGCGCGTTATTTTAAATTTTATTATCAGTACGAAGCATTGACATAACGTCGCTACTGCATGCTGGAATTCGATGTGAGTTATTTCAACCGTGCGTTATGTCTTTTGGATGCCTATGCAACGCAGCACGAGGCTGGTCGAGCGTACGTCGCGAGGTTGCAAAACCAGTTGGCAAACGAATTTTATATTAGCCGATAATCTTCACAGCAGAAACTGGAAAGACCGGGCGCTAATCGTTCGAAACTGAAGCGAAATATATGGTTCTCGGATCTTCAGCGCGAAAGTGAGACTATTGTTTTGTTAACCATACTTCCTGCGTGCATCAGTTGCGAGGGAAAGTGGTAACATTTCGTAACACCGCCTGCGGACGGTCAAGAAGATCGATAGTACAAATCGCTTTTGTTAGGACGCACCGATGGGTAAACACCGTTTCAAAACTCGCAGCCCGCGGTCCCACGCCACGCGAAACGCGAAAACCGTTGACACCGATCGGCCACTGTTTGGATTATTCTCCCATATTTGTACGCACAAATCTGGTGGGCATAATCATCAATCTGCGGAGGTTTCGTAACAGACCGAGTGCGCGGGCCTCTATTTATTTATTGACTTAATGAGAGACCTTGTAATTTGTAACACTTAGCCGCTCTACTCATTACTTATCGCGGTTATCCCCTCAATGTACACTCCGCAAGCCTTCCAAGCGGTTCAAGACATTCCTGCTAATTATTTTAATCGAAACGCTCGATTAAATATATGGTCACAGTTTAAACCTAAACTAAAATCGTAAATAATTTTAATTTTAATTAACACAGTGTCACAGACTTCAATATTGGTACGAATAAAAAATTAAAAACATGAGAACATATAAACATCAAAAATAACATACTGGGTCGAAGCTATAAATTATTATTTATGTCTGCATTGAATATTGCAGCTGCTCTCAATGTCTGTTTCTACATTCGTTTGCCTGGAAATTATTCAAGTATAGCACACACGCTCCGCATAATTAGGTGTTCCGAATGACTTTGGTTTGTGTCTTTTTTAACAAAGCCGTAATGTTTGTAGAGCAGATATTAGGAGGCTTTAACTTTTTCGCTTTTAAATATAATGACCATACTTTAATAGGGGCATAAAAAACGTCAGTCGGTTTCAAAACCCTCGTCCCAATGAAAGCACATGAAATTCGACACAACATCCTTTTGAACCATTTCGCCGTATTTTTTTTCTTTTCGACTCCACACATACCTATTGCTCAAGACGAAACCGCATTGAATTACAACAGTTATATTCTATTACAATTTGCAAAACTATTAACCTACTTTCTAATGTATTACAAAGTCAAAATCAAAAAAGACAAATCGGCAAATAAAAGCTACGACAAATTTTAAGTAATACACAAAATGGGGAAAACGCGGAAAACGGCGGTCGAAATGCACGAGACATTTGAGACGCAAAATTCCACAATCGGTTACTTAATATTTATTCAAGGCAGATCATCATGCAAATATTGTGATTAAGATAATGCCACAGTGGAGCCGGTTCGTTTGCGTTCACTAGACGATAAATAACGCATTCTCGGGGCGACACCGGAGAGCCGCCGTGATCGCCTCGATATAATTTTTTCTTAAAAGATAGTTGAATAGCCTCGGTATTTATAACATAAACTTGATTCAGAAAAAGCCTAATAACAATATAATTTCTCTCTGAACTACGCTAGCAACTATACTAGGGGGCTTGAAACAGAACATCATGTGAATGAATTACATAATCCTCCATTAGCAATAGTGGTGTCCGTAAAAGTGACCAAATTTTACAACACCCGTTAATATCCAATATCCAAATATGAGATAAGCGATCCTTCGAAATTTTAAACATTCCAAAGAGCTTACAACGTCCTGACAGAGTTCACGCCACTCACATTTTCGGATACATTATCTGTCTTTTGTTTTATTATCCTTCACGGTTTATTGTTTAAAAGGCATTCTGGTAGCTGGAGGCGTTTAGTGAGGCATACATTGAACCTGACGAGTGTTGACCCCTTGACACGACTCGAACGCCCCCGAACGGCGAGGTATGAATCAGTCTCCTTTCTAAGTTGACGTTTTTACCTTGTTCATAAAGCACACAATGACATCACTGGCCATTCGCAATCGACACCAGAATTAAATAGAATATCTCTGCTAGTTTGCGGTGTACATTATACAGTACTATTTCTCGTTAAAATTGTCGATGACAACAAGACCGTTTGTTGTTTTTTTTTTTTTAATTCTAAATGAAGACCTCTACAGTCTACTATACAGTCGTGATTTAACTGAGGTAGCGTCACGCAGTAGCTTCTGCTATTACACGAATGGGCCGGCTCGTCCGAGGACACCCACGGCGAAGCAAAGCGGAACCCACACTACGCTGGCCCTTGGTGTAAAGCCAGGTTGGTGAGAGAACTCTAAGTGGGCTATAGAGTTCGCGGAAGTAAGCGAAAGCTTTCCCGTGACGTCAGTATGCGACTTGTGTGGAAAATCGTTCGGGCTATAGTCGGTGCTAGTCCGACATATCTCTTGCCCCTTCAACAAATTAAGGCTCATACGGGGAAGTACCACGGCCTCACAGAAGACTTTCGCGTTTCGTCAGATGATTGAGGTAGCCAGGGCCCACTTTATTAACGGTTGTTAATCAAAAACGTGTTTTAGATCTCAAGGCAGCGGTAATCACTTAAAATCACCGCTTGCCAACTTTTCACGTAAAAAAGAGCTCATTAGTGCTCCGGTTAGATGCTCCTGCTTTGCGACGATCTTCTGTTAGGCTTCCCCGACCGAGCCAATGGCTCATCCGGGGTCAATAAAAAAAGCGAAGTTCGAACAGGGTGGCCGCGCCAAAACGGTTCGGGCTCGGCGAAACCAATACGCATTGTTGCGGGGCAATTGGACCGGAACGAGCGCAGGGGACGGCGGCTGACGTCGACCGGACGGGGCCCCAAGGCGGTACCGATATGCAGTCCAGACGTTGCACAATTCGAAGCGCACGCTGCGCGGCTCTCGGCCGTTCTGATAACGAGATAAACCGCACCGGCGGTGTTGTATTTATTTTGTCATCGCCGCCACACGTGCGCCGGCCGGCCATTCCGGTTTGCGTTTAGACGATTCGAAATTTAAATTCGGCCCGCTCGACGCATTCGCCCTAACGACTCATATGGGTAATACTCAACGACCAAATTGGAAGATATTGAGACGTGAATGCGGTTATTAAACGACAATTTATCATGTTTAGTAGTATTAAACAATCCCGAGTGGATTATTACCTTACCGGATTAAGTAATGATACAGCAGCCTACGACGTCGCTCACACAATTTATTGACGCCATTGTGGCCCATTAAATTTTCTGAGGGCCCGCTCACCAATTCGATGTTCAGTCGAAACCCATGCTACGAGTCCGTGGCGGACGTTGAACAATATAATTACATAACGAATCTCATTTTATCACCCGACACAAATGACGTGTAAGTAAACACTTAATAGAGGAAGTCACGCGATGCGAACAAAAATCGAACCAATTACTCCCCAAAAGGGTTGTTCCTGAGGCGGTCCTTGTGAAGCGATAAAGGCCTAACAGGGGAGATGACCGCATTATAAATTTAATGCGACCGCCTTTACTACCGCTCAGGTCCAATCTGAAAATTAAAATAATAATGCTCGGACCCTAGTTAATCCTGGGAGGGAGGACTTAGCGAATACCGAACGCGGTGGATCATAAATCTAAAATCAACTTGGATCATAAAACACATGGAGACTTCAATAAAAACATTTAGCGCCTTAACATAGAGCGGCAACTATGTAAACAGTTAACATATTGTTGCACAGTAAAGATCAAGAAGATGACAAGAATCAACATAATGGTGACAACGATTCTGTTTTCTTTTCACCAATTAGTTGGTTCCACCACGATGCCGTGTATAGGTGATCAGTTTAAAAACATGTCCGAAGGCGCATCGCAAATCATCATCATGATCAATCCACGATTAGTTCTTACACAAAAGCCATAAACTTTTTTTAAATTTTACCCATACTATGTATCAGAATGATATTATTTCGTTAACGACCTTATTATGACCAATTAAGATTAACATTGTATATTCAGTTGCGCGTTATCATTAAATAATGTACAGTGGTTAAAGGAGGCACAGGGTGCAACGTCATTGGGACAAGGCAATGTACCATAGAAATTACTGTCTCAAAATAACCATGCCGCGTAAAGAACCTTAAAGACGCCTGGAGCCCAACGTCTATAACATATGTCCATTAGACAATCGCCTTTGTTTTACCACCGGGCACTAAACGTCGGTTCACTCCGTTTAAGGAGAATGGGAAAGAGTTATCGTGTACAGGTGCTTAAGAAGACAGTTGACGAACAACTGGTTTTAATTTTTTTTAAACGCTCAACATGAGTTTAAATTATTACATTTTTGTCATTGAGACGCGAAGCACCGGAGATAACGAAGTACTATAGCTGCTAAGGACGACCACTGAATTATTATTGCGCTTTTAAATATATGCTATTTGACATTGATGAATCATTCAAGCATCCATCAGTACGCCTCTTTTTAAACGCTTTCACGTTTTTAATAACGGAGTAGGCAGATTTGGTTAGTACAACCTACGCTTAGAGAAGCGTATTAGAAATAACGTGCGATTAAAAATAAACATACATTTGATATACAGTGACATAACACTACATATTAAATACTGTGCTGTAGTACATGTTGCTTTGTTTTATAAAACAATATCAATTGAATTAATTAAATGATTTTTTTTAATTAATCAATCATGAAATCGAAATCACCGAAAGCATATTTCAAGGTTGTGCTCGGCATAAAATCCCATGAGGCTGATATAATATGCAAATTAGACATTCGATTCTACTATTAAAGAGGTCGTTATAAATTCTAAGAGAAAAGCACCGAACACAATCTAAACCGTTACAGACATCACTAGAGACAAGCTCGCGAATTAGACATACCATTCGAAATTTAAAAATAAAAATAAAACAATCTCTAGATAGGTATTCTGTGAGCATAGCTCCCGAAGCGTTAGTGAATAGCTAAAGCGATCGGTGCAAGCAAAAGTAGAAACGCAACAGCTGTAGATATAGATCCCCGCGCAGTTCAGTTCAATGGGAATATATTTAGCGATAGGCAGGGGCTAGATGCGAAGGAATCCGCGCGGGCGAGACTCGCGGCCGCCGCGCCGTCTGCCGCAATACGTAGGCCGCATACTCGCGCGTACCTGATGCAACTAGCGACGCAGCGGTCTGCGACAAAGTCGATTTGCATTCACACTCTATGTGTTACCACCTAGGACGCGGTAGGACACCATCACATCGTGCGATTTAATCCTAAGGAGAGGAATAATCATTAGAACCACCCCATCCCACTATCGATGTCCATAGCGACGTTTAACTCACTCTAACCACTCCATCAGTCACAGTGCTTCAAAAAAGCTCATATGAATATGCCGGACGATTTGCTCGTACTAATATAGCAATAGTGAGAGCTCCAATTTTTTTTACCAGTATATAATCTAACAATCGTAAATAGTTGGCCAATAAAGGAAGCCCTAAAATACAAAAAAAAAAACAAAAATAATTCATAATTGATATAACGAAAGTGTAATCAATAGTCTCGATATGTATTGTTTTTTAATATGCCACTGTCGAACATCTTTGTTTCGGTTGCGTCGCGTAACCTGCGGCAGTTTCAAATTATTATTGAAGACCACAACGCATTCATCGTCCTCAGTTATCTCATTGTATTCGCATTGAATCACGTCGATGGTTTCGAATTTCACGCGGAGCCATTTTTCGTCGGCCATTAAAAATTCGCAACGTCAACCGCAACATAATGATACGTTGAATAGGCAGCACGGGATACGTGATCGGACAGCTGATAGGGAGGACTTATTGTGTGCCGTCTCGCATTCGAAAGGTGATTCAACCGAGCGAGAGGAGAAACTAGGGCGTGCGGTGACACGACCTAAGGCAAGCTGATAACAATCCACGCTACAAATCCAACATCCAGGAACAATCCACGCTATCTCGATGGTATCAGCGCAGTTTATAATAGCTATGCGAAAAGCAAACGAACCGTATCTAGCTCTAGAAGGTGAAATTCATTATGTTTTAGTCATCGTTGACACGGCGCAAGTAAATAGCTAGTTGGTGGGTGCTAATGAAACCCACGTCAGGGGGCTTTTTAAACAGAAGGTAGTCGCTGATAGATCGCGTCCCAAGGGGCTTTGGAATCCGTCCTTGCGTGAGCATTAATTAAACGGAGACGAGATAAAAATAAAACTCTTGTTCCAAAGCTGTAATTATATCGTTAAAACGCTTTGTTGAAGGGGGGCGACGCAAAGGGTGACTCAGAAGACGCAACAAAGCGCAAAATCAGCCAGCAGGCGACATTTCGCGAGGTACGCGTCGAAACAGGTAACCGGCGTCGCCATGGCGCGCATACAAAACGAGACGTTTACGACGTCGTTGCGAACGAGCGCGCCGAAACAACGAAATACTATCCAAAGTGTTACGGAACACTAATTCACGCGCGGCCCAATTGCAACGGGAGATAACTGGAGCCCTTCTTCGCGCGGTCCTTCGAGCGAGCGCGGTAATTGAAAGGCGTTGTTAGTTTTTCTAACGTAACTCTCGGGCCGACTAATCGATGTTGTACAAATCTCACATGCCGCAGATGCGGCCCACTGACCTCCTTCCGTATCATTGATAGTCAATGGCGTGTCCAAGTTGCCTATTATGATGTTAATGTCGGACAGAAAGGATTTAACTTGCGTCCGAGCGCCTTAATCAGCAATTTGTCTATATTAAATATCTTCGGCCGCTCTATGCCCGGCGGTGGGTTCGGCTCGATACGGATTATGGAATTGTATGTGTGCGTTAGATAATACTGGGCATTATTCATACGTTTTAGTGCTGACTTACACGAGACCTCGAAAGCGCGACGAACATTAGGCCACGTTACGCCGGTAAATGCCGACGACTATATATCCCTAACTTTGTACGGAGCCTGTCAATAATCTTCTAACGATTGAAACACATGTACCTATGCAACGCTCGTGTAAATTGAATACATTGTACACAAAAAGTTTCGTCACTAAAAATGTTTACGATAGATGATGGACGAGCACAACAATGGCGGAGATGCGACGTGGCATCTCGACTGATCGTTTTGTAACCGCCTAACGTCGGTTGATACAAAAGGGAGGGAAAGAAAAAGATTATTTGGACACCTTCCGTTCCTACGTTTTAATTTAACAACGGAAGCCGCATGACTCGACAAGAAAAAATCAGATTAATTTTCACCGTCCGCGACGCAACGGAACGTCCGCGACGTAGGAATAAATTACAACACAACAAGGAGCCAGAGCCAACAAAAACAACGAAGCAAACTGACAATGTTACAGCGAAATGACGGTGTAGAGAAGTAAGGTAATCTCATCAGCAAAACCTTTTGCACAATAGAACGTGGAAATGATATTAACAGAGGTTGAAGACTTTGCGGAAAGAAAGGACTGATATGATCATGACTAATTGGAGGTACATTCTGTACTTAAAATACCACGTCTAAAAATACGACGCGTCTCGCGTGTATTTTAATCTGAAACTCCTATCGGAAATCTCTACAGGCAAATGAAGACTTTCACGTTACGTGCAATTAGATGTTTTATGCATTGATCATGTCGTAATGTAAGCTGATGTTCCAATAAAAAGCAATCGAGACGCTCCAGCACCTCAAAGTGGTCTGTAGCCGCATTGGCCGGCTTCCAGTTCCACTGAACTTTGACAACGACTCGCGTGAAATTGCATTACATACGTCAGTTCCGCAATGCTGACTTCCATATATAAATGAAACTGAAAACATTCGAAAATAAATAAATTTCTATTGAAACAAAAATATGATCTTACTTTGAAACCGAAAATACTGAATGGAATCGCGTGCGAAAATAACAAAACACTTTTTCGTATTAATCTCATCCTCGACCCGCCTTGCAGGTTTCAAGTGCAGAGAGGTCAACGGTCTCCCAATATAAGCATTCCTTTCCCTTTCTGAATTTTCGATTGCCTCCAGGCCGACAACACGAGCAAAAATATAATAAGGGGTTCTGTACATTAAATTTCACTTAACAGTGCCCTTTTACGAGATGCCCTGACATGTAACTCACGAAAGTAAACATCGTTAAGCAGACGAAAATTCAGTTGATTGTCCATAATTCCCTTTAAATACACCGAATGGGGCATTGTCATAAATCCTCATCAAAAAGAATCACTGTGTCAATGTACAATGAACAATAGATTGTTTAGCTGTCGCTGATCGAACTAAATCTGATGGCGACGCGTGTAGACGTTCGACCTAATCGAAGTTCAATTAAGTATGATAAACATCTCATCGCACTGGGTCGAGCCGCGACGAATCGTGTCTGTTACCGGAATCAATGGGACTACGTGACGGCAGCCGACACCGCGAACGGAAAATACATTCGGGGAATGCATTAACATGAACATAGCATGTTCAATAGATAGACGACGCTTTTGACGACGGAGCGCGTCCAGCTCCGTTAAGACCATTCACACGTTTAGATAATTGGATGGCAAGTGTAGCAACACATACAAAAGATCTAATCAGGGAGCACGACGACTGTCACAATGGTGAGATGACGGCGGTGGGATTACGTAACGGGTCCCAGGGTCTGATGAGAGGTCGACCTCCGGCGGGCGTGTGGGCGTGCCTTGAAAATGATAATCCGACAGCCCGGGGTCCACGAACCGCGCCGGAATGCAAATAAATAGATGCGCGTAGCAGGACGAGCACACCTGCCGCCCATTGCATCGGCGGAATAAACAATGCGTATCGTGACGCACCGCGCGCGACGTACACGGCCTGTGATCGGGAGGCAGTTTATTTTCCTTCCGGGACCGCCTATTGATGTTGAGAGGGCGACTCGTAAACTCTCTATCGGATTACTTAAATATTTGGCAAACGGCAACACTGCACTGTATGCAGTGTATAGTGACCCAGTTGGCTTAGGCGATGCACCCGGCGTCCCGCGAAGTTATCTTAGGATGCTTACTTAATCTTCGCCGTTATCAATCTCGCCGTCGCATGCTTTAGCGGAAGTCTTGTAACGAGAGCGTAGAAGACATGAGCAATTATTATTTAAAGCGCAAGTGCTAATGAACAAGGTATATAATATTCACGCAGACGCGTTACTTACGACCGGTCCCGTCTCTGGTTTGGCTTAGCGCCGTTAAAATAAACGGCCGCCGTTTTCGTTTTCCCCTTAATTAATCGCTGTCGTATACGTGTGCATCAATCATCTCCTATGGTTAATTACTGGAGCTGTCGGTCGGACGTATGCGGCCGCTTCGCACCGTCCGCCATTTCATTTGATTTTCTTTATGAGTATGATGTTTCATAAAATATAAATAGCCAGGTGCTGCCACGAATGTAGGACAGATGCGCTGAGGACTCTAACGAAGGGACACGAGCTTTTACGAGTGAGGAGTGGACTTCAAGAATGCTGGATAGTCCCCACTAGGAAAACCGCAAACAGCCAGGTGCCTTGCGGTCCGATCGTGGTCTCGTCGTAATTGTCCCGTCTTCCTGTCCTATCCCATGATTGCTGCCCGCAGCAATATTATTGTTCCCCGTCACCTTTGAACACGACATAGCGTAAACCATACCAAAGACAATTTTAATGCTCGATGCAAACGTCTTGTGAGATTTCACAAAACAACAATTTAATTGTTTTGCTTAAATATTATTCTCAAGGCAGTGTCGGAACAACTTATTATCCAATCATCATAGATTTTGAACGTGGTATATTGCGACCTTTTTTACTTTGAAATGCTTAGGATATCACATCGATGTCAGTTGCTAAGATATAGACTTTCTTTTAAGAGAGGCCATTAATCAAAGAAGAAGAAGAAGAAGATATAGACTTCGTCGTGGGTTCGATTTGGGATAATTATCTGCAAGACTTGCAGATTATTGTTTCGGGTCTCTGTGTGTTTGTCTTTGTTTCATTTGTGTTTTTAAAACGCCTCTATAATCGAATTGCCTTGTGCCGTAGAAAAAAGACAAGATAAAAATTAGAAAAGTCCGGACAAAGATGTATGTATTAAATGTCTTAGCGGTAAAAGTTACGTTGCGAGAGTTTATATTAAATGAAACTAGTTTACGGATTTTATCGCGTTTTTTATTTTGATTTGAACTCCCTACGTTTCGAACCCTTTCCAGCGTTCAAGGTCACGGGACAGACTAACGCCCGGTTTCTGAAACACTGATCATCGTAGATGTCAACTAATCAGCTGTCAAATATATTTTAAATTACAATTTAGGTATCAAAAGGATGGTTAAATTCTCTGAATTAACCAGAATGATCTTCTTCATGATCAGAATGATCAATTCAAAGAGTTTTAATCATCCTTTTGATACCTAAATTGTACCTAAATTGTAATTTAAAATATATTTGACAGCTGATTAGTTGACATCTACGATGATCAGTGTTTCAGAAACCGGGCGTAAGTTGTTATACGTCATAGTTAACCCCGGCTACCGTCAATTATTAGAGTTTTTTTTTGCAAGAATTTGTTTAGCAAACAAAAACATGTACTTATAATCAATAAGATTATCCCTGCAGGTAGATACTAAACGAATCTTAACCTTTGCTATCTAAAATAACATCACTAGTTATTTACTTAAATAAAATTCAGAACAAAGTGATTAACATGTAAAAACTATGGTAAACAACTCTCAAGCGATCCAAGAGCTAAAAGCTCAAATGTCACAAGAGCGACCATCGACAACGCATAAATACGAACTAGCACCTTCTAATTTACACTAAAATATATTTAACCGCAAACCGGAATTGGGATCGATCGCTAATATGAGTGACTCAATCAGAAACATTTGAATAAGTGGGCCACCTTCGTGCCAGATACACGAGAGGATGTTTAAATTTATATCAGCGGTTAGACTATCTAGAAATAAGCGGTCGCATGCAGCCTGAGATGTTCGCACTGTGTGACGTTTTCGTTAGACATCGATACGCAACATTCGCAGTAGAGTCAATGGGTGTTCACCCATTGACTCTACTGCGAATGTTGCGTATCGATGTCTAACGAAAACGTCACTAATTGCCTAAAGAAAAAATTGTCTAAATTCCTTTTAATTGACTAAAAAGTCTTATAACTTTCCGCGGACCGACGGAGGGCGCCAAAAATATTTAAACTAGACTATCCAGCCTAAGTAATACGTAAATATAAAAAAATGTGTAAATATAAAAAGAAAAATCCAATTTTGCCTCATTCGGTTTTAATTCGCGACTGTTGGAATATGTTGCCGAGCGTAAGGTCAAGGGGCAGACAGATATACGATATACAACTTTTTATTGACAACGTAATAATAATCTTTGGGATCCAAACCAACTTTGCAACGTCGTATACCCTGTAGGTTGTATCATCTACTTCCTTCAGCCTATTTTTTTTCTCATCTAAAAATTTGTGGGCAATGAAATCTTTTGTTACGAACACCGTAGCATCTTTAATCCCACGAGAGTAGGCTTCATACGTAGCTAAATACAAGTAAATTAATATTGGCATAAATGTAAAATATCGCCAAAGTTTCAGTAAAAACACACTTTTAACACAACTTCTTGTAACACACGAAGTAGGTACACCAGGAACCTTTTACAGGCGCCTGATAAACATCACTCAGTGAGTGTGGCCCAATAAACGCTCAGTTAAAAAAATCACGAGACGTGAGCCCACAGGGCGTCGTTGATTTAATTACTACCTGATATCCACTGTGTGTTACATTCAGTGACGGATAAGCCAACGTGGGGCCCGCAGCAATTGCTTACAAGCCACTTGGTTCGTTGTAGGTATTAAAGTTAAGAAACCATCAATTATTTTCTTATTGGTACATAATCAATCGAAATCTATTTCGATTGATCGTGTTTAAAGTACAGTACAACATTAAAGATTTCCTACTAGTGTTTGTGTGTGGGGTGTATGTAATATATATTTTAAATATGGTACGGCTTGCATCTAGAATGTTTTTGGTTTGTTTCCGCTGCGTATCTTTGGAGCTTAAAAGATGCCACCTGGTCAACGTCAATCAAGCATCAATCAATTCGTCTCCTAAAGTGGGAAGGATTACGTCACCAAATGGTCCCTTGTTGCTGCAACACAGCGAAAGTGTTAAAGTGTTGTGATCATACGGTACTCAGCGTGATTTATTTATGATGAGGGAAACTGGCAAACGGTCACTGTTCGCCTGATAGTACGTGATTGCCCCCATGGACATCTACAATACTGATTGACTACAGATGCGTCGCTAAACTTTCAGCGATTTGCCCGATCGCTTCACCAGAAGAGACGCTAAAGCATAAATGCTTCTTAAGTAGAACAATGACGTTTCCGTCAGTGTTTACCCGAACCAGACTGCCCGTGCTGCAGCAAAAGCTGCGTGGCTATACAAAATAAAAATAATGGCAAAGACGACGAAGAGGGGTTCCGACGTCTTCTGAACACGGTGTTTCAAGGGTTGTAGCAACTAAGAGACAACCCTTCGAAGCGTAGCATTATCAAGCTGCGAGTGCTTCACTAATCGGGCATTGGTTACATTGCAGACGGGGCGATGTTAGGTGCGGCCCTGGCAGCGCTCGCGTGCCTCTGCGTGGCGCGCGCCACGCCGGCCGAACCGCACGGAATGCGATTGTACGCGCAAAACTCGTACAACTCTAAGGTGAGGTGATATACACAGTTAAGTTTAGCGTACACTTAATATATCATTGCAGATTAATAAGCCATAGTCCGTCACGCTCTCAGCAGTGTTTGGCAGACTTTATATATCGACCAAGCTTTTAGTTTCCAATATATGATCATATCGTTTGAGAAAATCTCGGGATAATTTTCTTCGCCGCCTGACCAAGAGGTTAATCAACCGTTCACATTAAGCGTAACGTAATTTAACGAATAGTAGGCCTATTTCCGCAATTAATTTAAGTAAGTAAACCCATATTTAATTAGAAAATTTGATTCTATTCAAATCTGTCCCTACTTTGACCTTATATAATTTTAACATCACCTTACATCATTGCGAGGAACGCGAGGAACATTTTTATTAAAGGTTTATACTTTGTCCTTAAAATACAAACAGATAGAACAAAATAAAAATTAAGTGCAAAGATTAGCACTATAAACAATTTAAATTTACAAAACTGTACATCAAACAGAACATTTACACCTCGAGATACACTTAATTGTTTGCGCAAAATCTTGATTAAAAATAAACACTATGAAAGTGAAAGAATATTCTACAACACCATACTGTTGATGTTGAACTACAGATCGAGCTTTACTTAGGCATATGACTGACATTCGAAAGTATGGAACATTGTCTTTACTGTGTCCAATTAAGTTGTAATTACAATTGAATTGTAGCTGCATTTGAAAGTTTCTCCGACCCTATCGTTTTAACGTATCGTCCCATTGGGGAAAGCGGTCTTGTCACGTTAAAACACTACTCATGTCAATAACTACCTACAAAATCAAACATAACGTATTGTGTAGTAAAAAAAACTTAGAGAGGTGCATATTACGAATATTTTCAATTGATTAAATAGTAGTTAAATGAAAGCATTCCTAATTTAAAACACATTGCGGATTCCTAATGTAACCTAGTTTATAAGGCTCTACATAGAGCATATTACGTCCCGAAATATGCACCCCTGTGACGCAACAAGCAAGTCGACAATAACAACAAAATTTATACTAACAAAAAAGCGACCCATGGAAAAAGCTTTAATCCGCGATATGTATAAAGAAATATTAACTTCTTTTCAGGATTCAAACAGTATTTTGGCTACAATAGAGGAGCGTCTCAGACTTCTTGAGACGATAAGCGCAACGCAAGCAAAGCAGGCACGGCGCCTGGACGTCATACAAGACAAGTTGGGTAAGTACGGAGAAGTGTCATAAAGTATTTACATTATAAAAGTACCTATTTCGTAAAAAGGATTTCATTTTGCGCGAATGAAAATGTACATTCGATCAATTTGTTCATTCGATGATTTTATGCAACTTCAGATCAACTACGCGATTCTACCAAATTGCGTGTCACACAAAACTTAGTCATTGACTTACGCCCGGTTTCTGAAACACTGATCATCGTAGAAATTAACTGATCAGGTGATAAATGGCTTTTCAAATATCATTTGAGTTGCCAAAAGGATGGTTAAACTCTTTGAATTGATCATTCTGATCAATTCAGAAAGTTTAACCATCCTTTTAGCAACTCTTTCTTTTTCTTCATCACATTTGAAAAGCCATTTGACAATGATTACTTAATTTCTACGATGATCAGTGTTTCAGAAACCGGGCGTTAGTCAAACAAAATTAAATGAACTCGTATTTATTATACGTATGCAGTAATTACGCAATATTTAAAATAACATCCTCCAATGTGCACGTCGAAATCTCTAAAATAAATAGACATATCGAAAGCTTTTACCCGAGTCATTTATCGATATTTAATTCGATACGATGAGAATACAACACAAAACACCATTCGACGGAAATGCATTTAAGTGAATGTTGAAAAACAAACATCGCATACCGAGCTAGCAATACCGACAGGTCAAGTTGATGTTGTTAATCGATTCCGTTGTTATCGATTAACTGAGTTGCATGCATTGGGTTTTGCATCATTTTTCTTTGTAATACGGTCAATTTGTTACCTTTGTATTGCATGTTCCGATAGATGTTACGCGAATAATTCGTAACCGAAGAAATAAAAATAAATGATTTTAACAATAAGAGTTACCTCAATAAGGTTTTGAAAATTGAACACCTAAAGTTTAAGGTTTGAAATGTATGTGTTCAGAATTTGCGCATCTCATTTGCGCATCTCGGTAACGTAAGTTTATCATCAATCCGAGTATTTACCGTGTGCCGAGGGGGGTTTGTAAGTGTGAAGCGCGAACATTCCCCTAGCTTCAGCAGAGACCGGCCACTTCCCGATCTGACCTAAATCTCGTCCAATTGCACGCAAAACGCCAGCATTCCCGAAAGTGCTTGGACAATGAGTCACGCGCATTGTGTCATATCCTATTTTAGTGGCCCGGGCGCAGTGTAGTTTCGTAACGGCGTAACCGGCCCATCATCCGCAATTACGGATCAGCATCAATTGCAACTGATACTGTGACGCGGGACGTCATACGAAAGCTGCGGAATATCTAGGAAGTGGCAGTAGTGAGTAGGAAGTCCTAATCTATGTCTAATTGTTCCCAGACCGTGTGGAGACGACGCTCTCGCTGAGACTTGAAAGGGCGCAACTTGCGGCGGAGAGGTTAGAGCATCGCCTGCACATGCTACAGACGAACGTTCAGGTACGGATACTAAATAAATTTTAATAACAACAGCACAAAGCTCCGATAGCATGCACTCACTATAATAATAAACTAATAAAGTCTAACCTGTAACCTTGCAAAACGCAAAATACTAGTGCGGATTTAGATTCAATAAATGAAAATACTTCACTACATAGTATACAACAAAGTTGTCCTGCTGTCTGTCTGTCCCTATGTAGGTATGCTTAGATCTTTAAAACTACGCAACGTATCTTGATGCGATTTTTTACTAGATAGAGTGATTCAAGAGTAAGGTTTTTATGTATAATACATTGCACCCATGTGAAACCGGGGCGGGTCGCCAGTAGGTACTAATATAGACGAATAAGAAAAAAATATTTAAAAAATATTATTCGATTGTGAGCCGTGATAGCTCAGTGTCCGGGCGCTCGCCTTTAATTAGATATACTCGAGCAACCCGGTTCGATCCCCGGTGCCGGCACCAATGAAGTTTCTAACTTTAAGTGCTGACTTATCACGTGTTCCGCGGTGAAGGAAAACATTATGAAGAAACCTGCATATTTTCGAAATAATAACAAAAAATATATATATTTCGAAGATATGTGAAGTCCGCCAATCCGCAGTGGGGCCGCGTGGTGGACCGCGTACCCTCTGTATAGAGGAGGCCTTTCCCAGCAGAGGGACATGTATAGGCTGTTTCTTTTTTTTTTTTACTTTATTCGATTGTGTTATTTTTAAACATACTCAGTAGAAATGGGACAAAAATAGGCATGCTCCTATCACAGAAACTTATAAAAGCTCGTTTTACTCCCAAAAATAGCTAAAGTTAACCTTAACCCTTTCCAGCGTTCATGGCCACAGGAGAGACTAAGTTGATACACGTCATGATGCCAAAGTTAACCCCGGCTACCGTCAAATATTTTGTTGTTTATTTTAACGCTGGAAAGGATTCGAAACGTCGGGAATTACAAAATCAAAATTAAAACGCGTTAAAATCCGTAAACAAGTTTCATTTAATATGTATAATATTCTCGTAAAACCAAGAAGTCAATATTGACAGTTGCAACATGAAAATATCACACGGAACGTCACGGCCACCCATTGTGCTAAACGTAATAAATTTCAATTGCAGGCGTCAATTAAAGAGAGCAGCGAGAAAATAGAGCGCAGCCAAATTAAAATCGCCGAAATCGCCCAGAACCTAACAAATCATATTAATTCCCACACGCATTTATTAGAAAAGGTATGTACAAATTGAACATTAGCTTAAGAAGCTCGTGACACAGAATGCATGTTATTGCCCATTTTCCATTCACTCTGCAACTGTCGACTATTACTGTCGACGATTTTTTAGAAATTTTGATAGTTATTAAACTTACTTAAATGTAAATGTATTAAGATTATATGTAAAATTTAAATGTAACAGCGAAGCAGAGTATAACTTAAAGAAACAATACATATTTCTTGGATTTGCTGTTATTACTCGAGGCATTCAGAGATTTTGGTACTATAAAGATTATTTTTCGGACTTGAATATAAAACCACCGGAACGCTCTGAAAGATCAATATTCGCTATGGCCCCCACGTCTCATGGTGACGTCTTTCAATATAATAAAACCATAATTAAAAAACATGTGACGGCTAGTTTACGCGCTATTTCTTCTCGGGCAGTACGTCACGATGGGCTTACGTGTGATGTCGTTTCAGTAAATAGGTGTGAACTACAGGGGCGTTCCAACGTTTCAGGTTAGCGGGGCGTACGCGGAGACGTGGCACCGAGGGTTGGTGCTGGAGGCGCTTATGAGGGACAGCCTCGCGCTGGTGAACGTGACGCGGCGCGAGTTGGCCGACGGGCTGCGCGCCCTCGCGAGGAGGCAGAGGGACGCGCGGCTGACCTCGGCGGATTTGGAGGCGGCCTTTTCGCGGCGTCTCAACGACAACACGTACAAAATCGATTTGAAGGTGGGATTATGTTTTTTGTATTTAAAAAAAGCAATACATTTTAATGGACCTAATAGAAATCGTGAACTGTCTTAAAAATTTTTTATATCCATGGGAATAATTCACATAATGAAGTGACTAGTAGTGTGTGACTTATAGTTTTAAAGATCTATAAAGATTAGCGTTTACGAGTCACGAACCCTAAGTAATTTCATTAATTCAAGACAGATCACTAGTGCTACTAGTGTAGTAAGTTAATGGGATTCTGTGACCAGTGAAGTGTCAGAAGTCAAAATATAGGTATGAAGTTGTAAAGTAAATTAAAAATAAACGTGTTAACAAAAACTTATAACGTTACAGATGCAAGAAGTTTTAGACGCACAAAAGCGGTTTGTGGATTCTTGTCAGAGAGTACAGCTCGACGACCCGACACACGTAGCCGACGTATTAGACAGACTTATTGATTCCCTCATAAATAAGTAAGAACAATGATTTATTTTTATGTTACTCAACGTAACCAGCACAAGATCACAGGTTTATTCAATCAAGTAATATTATTCTGTAAGTAAAACAGGAAATGTGCATATAGAAGAAACAATATAAAAACACCTTATACTTTTGACAGTAAGAAGCTTTCAACAGAAATCAGATACTTAGTTATTTACTTTCCTCTCTAGCTACGGGCGATAATACAAATGATAAAATGTGTTATTTAAACCTTAATTACTTCCTTCGGTAACAAATTTATCCTCTAGCATTATTTATTTGATAAACACGACTACTATTAGACGAAAAGGCAAACGAATAATTGTTATAAAGCCACAGGCTTAGAAAAACCTTTCTTAATTTAATTTATTTCGACCAGAACTGCGGCGACATTCCACGAGCTACAAAACATTCAAGTGACCATGCGAAACCACGACAATAAGATCATGAAACTCCTTGGTGGTGGCCGTTCGACGCAGGTTTGATGAAACACTAATATACTCATTCTAATTAATTTAATACGACCAAAGTCAAACGTGTTCAAAAAATCGAAAAACACTATAACAAATATTGTAACTTAAACAAAACCCACATCAAGTATGTCACTCACTATACATTTTCTCTTTTATTTTGAGGAGTTCCCTGATGTATCTCTGAAATCCAAGGTCCAGTACCGTTGAAATTAATATAGGAGCACATGGGAACTAAATCGAACCTAACACGAAAACAATTTTTAAAATCGCTCAATAAATTCTGCCGACCTCCGAGGTGGCCTGACAAAAAAAAAAAAAAACAATTGAGAGCCTCCTCCTTTTTGAAGCCATCAAACGACTCGACAAAAATGGATATTGCATGCGAGATTTGCTAAAGTGACGATTGTCGTTCGACAGACGGACGTCAGCTGCCGTCGCCTGGAGGGATTGTTCCGGAACGCCTCCCACACGGCGGTCAAGGAGAACGAGCTACAGCAGCTCACGGAGAAGTTCGTCGGGCTGACGAATAGGGCGGACGCGGCGCTGCAAAGGCTGGAAGCGCAGCTGGGCTACGACAGCAACGAACCTACGCCGCCCACGTCCGAAGTCAAGGCAGAAGCGGACCGCTTGTTTCAACACTTGAAAGAGATCAAGTAAGCTCGACTGCATTCACTTACTCAGCATAATTATATCCTATGTGATAGATATGAAGAACTTGCATCATTATAATAACAACTTCCAAATCTAAGCTGTCTTATTATTTATTATATAAAGTATTAATAAAAAATGTCATTAATAAATTATCTAAAATTTTAATGTTTTTAATGATCATGTTTAAAAGTTCGACCAATTAACACATTTTTTTTCATAGAATAATTTGAAAAATATTTTTAAGTAACCACAGAAATGTGAACCTTTAATGATGACTAAAAGATTTCAAAATTAGAATATTTGATCGTAAGATAATTGTGATAACTACAAAAATTAAGCAACTGGCTTGTTTTACAGAAACGAAGAGGTGTCAGACGAAGATGACGAATGGGAGGAGAGTAACCAGGACGGGGAATTTTTCGACGACGGTGGGGGCGGCGACATGATGGACGAAGACAAGAAAATATTGAACAGCGTTTTTGAGAATACCAAGCACACAGAGAGTGCTACAGCCAGACCACCACATCGGAGGCATCTACACAAACACCCTTATGATCGCGGTCCAAGTTGGAGGAGCACGCCCACATCCTAGATTTAAGCTTGTAATATAATGCCTAATCAATCAAAAATTGATGTTTGATTTGCTCTTAATGTAGTAGAAATACAATGTCACTATCAGCTGACAGCTTGGTTATCACAACTTTAGATTTTAGTGCTTGCTGTACTGGGTTTGATTATGAACCATGACATATGTTTTAACAAATTATAAAATTTCTCATTATACATACTGTAATTTGCATAATATGCCTCTATAAGTGAGAATATTTTGTCTTTATTAATATGGTGAAATGCATGCACTCATGGCCAAGTGATGCCATAAGTGAATGCATACCTATTACAAATTAAAAAAATATTTTCAAGAAATACCTTATGCAAAAAAATTTACTTACATAACAGGAACTTAATTTACAAAAACAAGTCTCTTTTATCTTATTATTGTTGGTGTAGGGAACACGTGAGTTTATAATATGCTAAATGCTGTGCGTCATATTTGAATGTAGCTCGAAAAAGCACAAAATGTCTCAAGAGGATACTGACTAGCGGACAAAAACCTAAACATTTATCATATACAAATTTCATTTATGACTCCATTCAAAGTGCTGATATTAAACCCCAAATATCAAACAAGTTGACAATTGGCAAATCATGCAATATTATACATGACTGATTTCATTGCATCAGATTAAAAAGACTCAAATTATTACAAAAAATAACTACTCCCTGCCAAGGATTGTAGGCAACTTATGAAAGTAACATAAATTTCAGAGAAATATTAACTAAGCATTAAAAATAAACATTTATCATAATACTTTTCTTCTTTCTCTTAACCTTATCAGAACTGTGTGAGATCAGCACAACATGTAAATCATATAGGCGTTAGTCTATTTATTTATTGTAAAAGATTATTAACAATGGGTAAACATTGTTGATTTATATCTTAATCAAAAAGCAAAACAACATGTTTGGCTTAGTACTGCTAATCCCAGAAAAATTAATGGACACAATGACAACTTTATCACATTTTATTGTTTAGAACCAAACTACATTTTCGAAAGATAAAGAGATGTTATAGTTTTTAATCAGATAATATTGGAAGTTTTTCAATAAACGAATCTAAACATACCTCTAATTTGGCACTGTTCTGGAAAATGGTGAGGGCTTTGTGAGTCAATTGAGCAAAGCATGAGCTGAGAGTTGCTATCTTTTGACGAGCAGAAAACACCGTTTCTGGATCTTCTGATTCCAAATCCGCTAAAAATTAAATTGCTTGGATTAATCTCGGCTTAACGATTTGACAATTCATTCTAAAACATTCAACCAAATTAAGTTATTATGAATGCACCGTACTATAAAAACCCGAATAGTATGATATCAATTAAAGTATTAAACATTATGCTACATTAAAAAATAATAATAAAACTGAGCTGTGAATCGACATTCATACAAAGACAAAAACATTGGTTATGACATTGTTAATTATTGTCAAAATCTTTAAATAAATATGGTACTCACATAAAGACGTATCTAATTCGACACATGCTTTATCGAACTCCTTTTCTAAGATATCTAACCACCGAAAACCAACTCCAGTCGTCGCCATCTTCACAATAAAACTTGTTGACAACAATGAAACGTCAAAATGACATGCATGTTAGTTCCAAAACATAATAGTTTTTCTCATGTATTTTTTTCCAATATTTACAACATTAAATTTATCTAAAATAACATATTATCTAATAAACATAATCCAGCATGGTTTCAAGAATGCTAGCTGCATTTCCTCGCTGAATAGTTATGCGTTAACCTGTAAGCGAGAAACGAACCAGCTCTCTTATCACCAGCCGCGGCGTTAAGCCATACATACTTACGTAAACCTTGAAAAATTTTGATGTGTGGGGACACCACGGACCCAAAATTTCCACAGAAAATGGCACAAATACATAGTCTAAACAGAGAGACTTATATTTGCGCCATTTAATTGCTGCCTACAATGTCGCCCCGGCCGAAGTGACCGAAGTGGGGAACCAAGATGAGAGGCAGTCAAAGTGTCTACACAAGTTGCATCCCAAACAAGGGCTTTGCTTATCTCACAAGGGATCAAGACAAATGGTCGAATCTTTTACCATCGTCGCGAAAAATGCCACAGGGCTCTAAAATAGATGGTACATTGATGGAAACAAGAGTCCTACGGATGATATCGTTCAGTGAAATTTAAGGTACCGTAATCCACGTTACTAGGCAAAAGCAGATATATAAAAGTACTATTTGGGCAAAAGCCTCGAATATATTATATAATAATAGGATACACGGACCACGGAATAGAGAATCTCTATTCCGTGGTCCATTACGCGACCCGAATACAGATAGGAGAATTTCACATCATCATCATCATCATCATTTCAGCCTGTTTGAGTCCACTGCTGAACATAGGCCTCCCCCACAGACTGCCATGAAGCACGATCCTGAGCCACCTGCATCCATCGATTTCACATATCTCAATAATATATCATATCTCCAAAATATTTTGTTTATTATTATTACTTCAAAAACATTCGGGTTTTTTGATGTTGTTCTCCTGAGCTCAAAACTAAATTCGTGTATATTTAATTAAAAGCGATCGCCCGGACTTTGAACTACAACAGCTCCGAGCGAAATAAACATAATTTTCGAGCAGTTGACGTCAACTTTGACGACGAATGCAGGTAATGATAATCTTATTGTAATGATATATATATACAGCGTGTCGTTACCATCGCGACAATAAATGAACACACATATAGGGGATAACTTTTTAAAGTTGTATTAAACATTTAAATTCTTTAAACATCAATATTTACAGAGTTATTAAATTTTCCAAAACAAAGAATTTTAGAACATCCTACCTATAAAAGCGTAACGTAAAGTTCATTTGTAAAGGTCACAAATCATATGGATGGATTGAATGAATTTAAAAGAGACAAAACATACTGTTAGAAGGAGAGGCTTGTAATACGACGCTGTGGCGCGAGTTGTATAGGATGTTACAAATTTTGTTACCTTTTTACTTAATTAGTTTGTTTGAATTTTTTTTTTATTATGGATTTTGTTTAACGTTAATATTTTTTTATGATTATTGGCAAGTAGCGTTAAACGTGTGTTCATTTATTGTCGCGATGGTAACGACACGCTGTATATATAAATATACATATAATCGGAATCTCGGAAACAGCTCCAGCGATTTTCATGAAATTTAGTATGTGCGTAGATTCGGGGGCGAAAAATCAATCTAGCTAGGTTTCATTTTTAGAAAACGTCCTTTTATCCCTGTTTTCAGGAAATGAAAAATATGATTCGAAAATGACGGTAAATTTTACCGCAAAAAATGTTATAATAGCTCGGTCGGTAATCGGGCGGTCCCAAAACAGACGGTCGCGGTAAGAACTGTTTCAATTTCAAGCTTTTATCTTAGAATAGTCGTAATTTAAAAGTAATACAGAAAGATTTTACGGTTTGAATTTTTTTAGTGAGTGGGTTGAGTTCAATGTTTCATAAGTTGTTAAAATTTTCTTGACTAATAATTAAAAAAGGAAATTTAACAAAGACTTTATTTGGTTGCAAATGTTGTTTTTCCATTTGAAAAATTACACGGTAATTTTCACGGTATACTTTTATGAGATTCACCGTAATTTTGTCTAGCAACACCATAATTTTACCCTTACACACGATAATTCTTGATTTACGTATGGAGACGCTGGTGGCTTATCGTCTGTCCTTTTTCGGTTTCCTAATAGATTAATCAGACTTCTCTTCTCGTTTATTCTTTGTAAAACCTCTTCCTTTGTAACCATCTCCGTCCAACTTATTCTTTCCATACGCTTCCAGCACCGCATTTCCGATGCTTTCAAATAACATCTCTCTTTTTGATTTAGGGTCCAGGTTTCGCTTCCATATAATGCTGTGTTCCTCTCGTATGTCTTTATGAATTTGTTCTTGATGTTTGTTGACATTTTAGATGTAAAAATATGTTTTTTTTATTCGCGAAGGTACATATATATATGCTTTAGTAAAAAGCGGTTATTTGAACATTATAACCAGATACTGCAATTTTATGTGTATGTATATGGTAAACAGTGGTAGGGCCACGCAACAGTCTTTGCGATGGCACGAATGCCGAATATGCAGGTCCGTCAGGAAGTACCACGACTTCACGGAAAACCGGCTAGAAGTAGAAGTGTTATACTTCTTGTCAGTGAAGTAGCCTGGGCCCACTTTATTAAAAGGTGGCGACGCATCTGCTACCTTACGGGTGGGGTAAAATCTCGTCACAAAATTGTCGTCGCAAAAAGAAAAATACATTTTACTTAATATTATTGATATGTACAACAAACAAATATGCAAATATTTTCTAAAAATGAAACCTAGCTAGATCGATTTTTCGCCTTATTATATTATACATACCTACACATAAAACTGCAGTATCTGTTTATAATGTTCAAATAACCGCTTTTTATTTAAGCATATATATGTACCTTCACGAATAAGAAAACATATTTTTACATCTAAAATGTCAACAAACATCAAGAAGAAATTCATAAAGACATACGAGAGGAATACAGCATTATACGGAAGCGAAACCTGGACCCTAAATAAAAAAAAGAGATGTTATTTGAAAGCATCGGAAATGCGGTGCTGGAAGCGTATGGAAAGAATAAGTTGGACGGAGATGGTTACAAAGGAAGAGGTTTAACAAAGAATAAACGAAAAGAGAAGTCTGATTAATCTATCAGGAAACCGAAAAAGGACAGACGATAAGCCACCAGCGTCTCCATACGTAAATCAAGAATTATCGTGTGTAAGGGTAAAATTATGGTGTTGCTAGACAAAATTACGGTGAATCTCTTAAAAGTATACCGTGAAAATTACCGTGTAATTTTTCAAAAGGAAAAACAACATTTGCAATCAAATAGTCTTTGTTAAATTTCCTTTTTTAATTATTAGTCAAGAAAATTTTAACAACTTATGAAACATTGAACTCAAAACACTCACTAAAAAATTTAAAACCGTAAAATCTTTCTGTATTACATTTAAATTACGGCTATTCTAAGATAAAAGCTTGAAATTGAAACAGTTCTTAGATTTAAATGTTTACTACGAATTTTTAACGCATCGTAACTAGAATAAAAGTAAACGTAGTATACATAATTGATACATCACGCTTACAAACCCTCCTTCCGATATTTAAATAAGGACGAGAATAGATTGCGTGGAGATAAACTTTTAGACATTGATGATTCCCCTGGAATTCTCGGCAACCAGGAAAAGTGCCGCTAAAAGTCCTTACTAAAGGACCAAGTGAAAAGAGCCTTAATTTATATATAGTTAAATCGCATTTTATGTCAAACATGCTGTAATTAGTAACCAGAGCAAGATTTCTTTACACGCTTTCTTTTTATGCTTATTTGACAAACACTAGTTGTGCTCTCCTCTCTTATTTTAATTACGCTATCCGTTTTACATCATTCGACATGTGTGAGAAATTTTTTGGGATGTATGAATATTCAATGTACAAACACAGTGAGACGTATATCTCACTTAGAGTTGATTTTGTGAGCGAATGGCATTACGCATATGGCATGTCTAGTCTGAAATATCATTGACTATCAACAAGATTAAGATTAGGACTGACCTCGCGCCATCTTGTGACTTCAATTTGTTAATTACAACTAGTTAGGTAGGGTGATCAAAACAGATATTTTTGAAATATTTATTTACAAATAAATTTTGTAAAGAAAGAAAACGTAACCTGCATTTAAACTCCGCTCATTTCTATATCACTGTTTGAGTAATAACCATCGTCATCATCACGGCTGCTTTCCTCTATAAAAACAAAACTTTTAATTATGTAGGTAGGTATTTAAAATATTCCACCAACTGACATACTATAAGACGATTAGAAATTTTATTACCGGAGTATAAAATGTTTTGATCGCTGATTTGTTTATTTGAAAATGAAATAATTCGAACTTTTTACTACGTAATTTTGATTTCAATAGGTTTGGTAATTCCTTTTATAAATAATATTACAAAAAAAAAGCAAAAAATAACAATGGAAAATCAAATAAAATTTTGTAATTCGTACTCTCCAAATAACAGTTAACAGATCGCGTTCATTCGAGTCAAAGAATTCAAGTTTAAACTCTTCCTAAGGCGGAAAGGAGCAATCCTAAGGCGAAGTTCCTATTATTTTTGAAACGCATTATAATGTAGAATGTTGCTACAATGTTTTTAACTATATACTATTTTAATATTTGTAAAAAAAAATAAAACTAACAAGTCACAATTACATTTTGGCGTGAAACTGAACTGAGTAGAGGCACCATAAAATAAGCAGCGCAAGAAGTAACTGTTTTTTTTATCGAATATACTTCATTACATGCTCGCTGCCACAAACGCATCATGCAATAAGCATACAATTTATTAGGGACTGACTGAGTCACGAAGGATTTATTAGGGACTGACTGTGAGTGGTGTTCCACACCTCTCACATTTCCGACTTCAGAGTTTACCTAATATTCGCTACTGTGCAATACTGTAATTACTTCATCACAGCAATCTTTCAGTTTGGGTCAACCTATATTCTCATGTTAATACATAATTATGATATAAACCTTGTTGGAGCAAAGAAACGAATAAGACATTAAATAAGACTTACCCCAGTTAAAATAAATAGTATATTTGATGTTTTTTTTGGCTAGCTTACTTATCCCAGGAAAATATGTTTATGCTGACCCATTTTATTTCAAGTTTCCATCCACAAAAACAACCAAAAATAAATAAAAAAAAGTTTTGCAAATAAGATACATTGGTAATTTATTAAATTTATGCACATAAGTAACATTCGCTTAATAAGCTGTATTGGTCTTTTTGAATAAAATTAAATATCATATAATATTAAAAATTTGTACACAAAACCTTTAAAAAGAACTTATATTGCCTCTTTACCATTTACATTACACCAATTTAAAGGCATAGGTTAAAATCAGCTCACCACAAGCTACACCTTGTTTGGAACCAAAATGCAGACATAATTTAGGCAAAATTTTCAAAATTAAACTTTTTTATATAATTGAGTTTTTATGTCCTTAAATGTCTATATACTAATTTTACTTTTTGACAAAAAATCTGTGTGAACTCAAACATTTGTTAGCAATTACACTTAATATGTATTTACCTAACCCAATACAATCACTTAGTATATTCTTACAGCCCTTTTTTTACCTAAGTCTGTTATAATAATCTAAAACTAAAGGCCTCGCAAAACATAAATGTGCCTGAGTGAAGTCCTCTAAGCAAATTCAGAGCCTGTACCATCAATTCTATGATCGAGTTACAGTATATAGGAACCAAATATGTGTATAACAAACCTATGTTCACAAAATTGAATAACATTGTCATTTGCATCTTTACTATTACACAATATTGTACAGTTGCTGCTGGTGCACAATGACTTTATGAACTTCCAAGGCGCATTTAAGTTTTGTTCGTTGAATAATATTAATTTATTTATTAATTTAATCTATTATTAGCTAAATGCAATCAATGAAAGCAAAATATACAATCCAGCTATGTTTTAACAAAAAAATCTAAACTTGATTATAATCAAATAAAATTGAAAGATCACACTACATCTGATTTGTTCTTCTCAGAAATTTTGAGTATCTATTTCAAGATTTGCTGCTTTTATCTTGTTTTTAGTGCAAAATAACAATTGTGATTTGCTCCTAAGAAGGATAGCTAGTTTGAAGCAAAATTTATACAGGCAATTAATCTATGTATCAGATAGCACATCTGGGGCCCATTGTGATAAAGTAATTAATATATTCTATCCTTACAAAATGAAGTGACATTTTTCATTGAACCCTTAAAATTATTTTATTTTGAACATGATAAGTATGTGCAATAGTGGAATATCCACTGAGGTAAGATCCTTTTCAAGGCATTCTAAAACTAAATAGATACCCTTAAAGCATTTTGCATTTAGTTGCATTGAAGCTGTATAAAAATTTGCAGGACATACAATGTTGTCAAGTCCCCACAATTCTATAAAGCTCAATTAACAACAACTGCACAAAAATACTCATGGTACCTTTAATATTTTTCTGACTTACATAATTATAACATTTATATTTACTATGTTTACCTAATGACATAAAGAAACACAAAAGTATTATAAAGCATAATAAGATTAACTAAATTAATACAAGGACCAGATTTCAGTAAATTATACAAAAGTAGCTTTATAGTTTTTTTTTTTTTACAATATATCACAAAGTAATTTAATTCTATCAAAAGCTTTATGGCAATCAATACAGAGGAGTATTAATATTATTGCCACTTGAAGATACCATAGAAGGGTTTTACTTTAAATATATCTCACAGTAACCACAATAGCCGTGCACAAACATAGTGTTTAGTTCACTTATTCTTAGTAAAAGCAATGTTCGTTAGCATAAAATTTCATTATGACACCACACATCCATTCTTTTCTTGTAAATGTCCATCAGACCTCTCAATTTCTGACAGGATTGCATGGAACATATCTGTCACGGACTGTAAAAATAAACATATTAATGGACGGTGATAGTTGGACATCAAAATTAATAAATGCTTAAAATTTTACCTCATTTCTCTTCGCACTGGTTTCAACAAAAGCAGCCTTCCATTTTTCTGCAAGCCTTTTACCTTCTTCTGTGCTTATTTTTCTTTCCAAATGAAGATCGGTTTTATTTCCAACTAGAACAATTGGTACACTAAAAAAAAAAACCAAATTATTTATAAGATTATTACCAGGATGGTTATATTTGTGTGAAGTTGTAGCATAATGTTACTGAAACAACATTATTAATTGTTACACATATCTATATCTTCACAATTGCACATTTCAAAATAAGAACTATTAAAGTAGCACTTACTGATAAAATATTTTTTACATAGCCCTTATTTTAGGATAACAATATCCTGTGTTATAAGGACATTTTACAAACAAGAATTTCACATGGTATAATTACCCAAACTCAAAACTAACAAAATTATATAAAAATAAAAAAAATGAATTCAACCATTGTAACTCTAGGCTTAAATAAAGTATTTGCCTTAATGAAACCATGAAAACATTTTGTTATGATTTTTTTTCACGTGAAAAAAACTTAACACTAGGTATGTAATAAAAATATATGTCACTATTACCTTTATATTGCCTTAGTTGTTTACATTAAATGATGTGGTGTTGTGGGACACCAGGTAGGAACGAAGTTCCTTCGGCTAATGTAGAATCGACACAAATTGCAAAAAAAATCGTGCTCAATTTTATGTAGGTTTTCTTGATTTTTCTCTTAAATTTTGCTGATTAGTTTTTATTTAAGTACAAGAAAGTATTTAGGAAATTCAGTATTTTAGGAAATAATAAATTAGTTAAAATAAAAAAACATAACGTAATTCAAATTATCAACTAAAATAACAAAATTATACACTACTCGCTTATGTATGCGACTGTCGCGCCTGCGCAAGTCACATTTAACGGTTTTATTCCACACACTTTTTTCCACGAATTTTTTCTTACGGTTTTACTATCACATTTTTTTCATTTCGGTCGCGCAGCAAAATCCCTATCCCCTCCAACCCTGCCGTAAGGAACTTCGTTCCAATAATTAAAATGTATACAAAATTATTGTTTCAACAATTTTTACCCGTTTACATTTATAATATATTAAAACTTACTGGATTTTTCCCACCATATCCAGTAGTTTGTCGTAAATTATTTGAACAATTTGAAAACTCTTGCTGGAGGTAATAGAGTAGACTAGAACATAACCATGAAAGTCCATACTATACTGCAAAGGGAAAATACTATATTCATCTTGGCCAGCTGTATCTACTAATTTTACTTCATACTCTGTCGAATTTAACCGTATAAACTTTGTGAAGGCTGGAATATAAATACAATTTAGTTATAATTTAAAATAAAACGTTATGTAGTAAACAAAGTAGTAAATGTTATTAATAATTTATTCGAAAAACTTACTGTTCTCAATCGTAGGATCGTATGAATCAACGAACTGTCCCTCGACAAATTGAATAATTAAAGACGATTTACCTGCAAATAAATGTTTCTATATTAAACGTCACTAATGATAAATTCGACGCAAATAGATAAAAGAAATTTAACTTTACCAACAGATCGATAACCCATCATAGCAATTTTTCTTTGCTTTGAAGGCATTTTTAAAATTTTGCTTCTTCTGTCTAACAAAAAATTTCTTATTTATTCAGGAAGTACCTATTATAATAACACAAAACCATTCACATACACATAATTCTTGTGTAAAAGTGTCACAGTTTGACATTTTGACATTCAATACGCACGCTTGCTGATATTATTGACTCAATCAAATCTTATCTTAAGAATACGACTGTAGACTATAATTTTAATAGCTAGAAAAGATGTAACAAATAACAACTTTCCGATACAATGCTTTAATTATCTTACAAATTTCTCATAATTGGACATGTAAACAACGAAGTAAACATTTAAACAATTAAACATTATAGTGTTGCTTTATGAAACTCCCAAAACTCTCCCGACTAATGCTTGCCAATAAAAAAGTTGTTACATATCTTTTAAACTGCTTAAAACAGACGACTCAGTTATTTGGCGATTGTTATCCGTCCTCGCGGGACCAAGGACGAATTATATCTGATTCGACTTAAACCTCCATAACGTACTTAAAACTCCATGGGCCGCCCGTGAAAACGCTTTCGCACAATTCCGTGACTATGTCCGAATTTCTACTTATCGTTAGAAATACTTAGTAAGCTCAACTCCGTGACCGTCACCAGTCCAAGCTATTGTTAGGTCGGCTGGGCACCAGATGCTATCTCGAATAGAGTAAACTCTCATTACCCACGTCATTTGCCTTCTAATTTTAATTGAAAATGTTATCTTTCGTTAATACTTTTCCCGACGAGCAGCTCGGCTTTGGAACCAGATAGTCGAACGTCCTTAAAATGCACCGCTCTGCTGACACCCAGAGTGCAAGTGTTACATAATGCATGGGATTACTTCTGTTCAACATCGCGAGTACATTCAACAAAATCTCTCTAGTATGACTAGACTAATTCGTTAAAATCGTACCAAAATACTGATCGATAGTTCGATTTACCTTTCAAGTCGATTACTTTACTTAATTCGTACTAGGTTAGTAGGAATTAAGTCTTTTCCCTGTATACCAGCGATGTTCCTAAGACCACTGAAGTCGAGTTAACATTGACACTGTACGTCAATGAAACCGACCTAAACTTGACCGATTGCAACAAAATCTTACCCCTAAGCACTAGAATTATTATCTGCTTACAATCTGTAATAAGTGTCCTAGATGAATGGTTCCGAAAGAGGCGGCTTGGAGTTAGTCCGGAGAAGGATGAACCGATTATGTTTTGTTGTAATTCAAACACCACCGAAAGTAAAAATTATTTCTCTGTCAATTATTCGAACTGCCATTCTATAGGAAATGAAGGCTAAATATTTTTGCGGCACGCTAGATCCTCTCTGGCCAAGTTGTTCATGTCATGACGGAGGCTTAATGTTGTTATTAGCACTAGGTTTCCTGCCACCACCACCAATGTTCTAGCGTACCTTACCTGGAGGAAAGGGGAGTTTCTCCCCGAGAATAGGCTGCTAAGTTGGCCAGCGCTGACAGGGTCGCATTGCCGTGGTTTTAATCGGTGCGGGTTCGACATAATCCGTATTTGCCTACGGTATGGCGGGTGAAAAAAATAGACTGGATGGAAGGATGAAGCTATCATAGCCACCGGGCTAATACCAAACTTCACCACAAAACAACCACTGTATTAGCTGGCAGAAAGGCTATGATCATTGCCTTGACATTATGACAGTTTATTGACAGGCATTTATAGGGATAAAAAAATCGATATTATTAAATAGTATCGATAAATGTTGAGTCAGTAATATAGATACATCGCCATTTTTACATGATTAATAATACATCATTTCAAAACATACAAAATTCGTTCAAATGATACAAATATTTAACTAAAAAAAATCACAAAGTTCTAATTTATACATATAATAATAAAAAACTTCTTTTATTATCATTCAGGGAATCCTACATGTAAATTAATGTAAGTTGATAAATAATTTATTGAAACCAGTATTCATCAGACATCATTATTAAGAGTACAGCCTGTAAAGCGAAACTATCATTGATCATCAGATAGTGTCAGATCCATAATTAAAGAGAACACTCTAGGAAGACATCGATCCATCGGTTAAACTCATGGACAGTCTTGTACCATTGTGTGCGGGACCCTGAAGGTACGGTTCCTTGATACAGTTTTTGGGATTTGATAATCAGTATAGACGGAAAAATGAATATGGTTCCAGCTCGACAAATGGTTTAATGCGAAGGGACATTAAATATAACAAAACAAAAAAAGCAAACAAATTGCCAGATGGATGTTGCTATTTAAAATTAGCAGGCGTTACGAACACATGGGCTCAATAAAATAAAATTGCGCAAAATCACCCCTATACTACATTCCGCCACATTTTTTAACTATATATTGGAGCAAAATATATATATATTTAAGTTAATAATATTTGAAAATATATAATTAAAGATATATTTAATAAAAAAATCGATATATCGATATTTTTTCGGCATCCCTATTTTATCATTGAAATGAAGAGAGAGAGAGAGAAGTAAAAGAAGAATTGACTGTTCGGAAAAGGTGTAACTTAATAACATTATCATATACTCATAGTCTTATTAGCATTTTCGTTGTACTTGCAATAGTTGGACGAAGAAAGAGGTAATTTCATTTGTATTTTGTAACATTCCATTTAAAATTATATTCAAGATAAAAGTGACGCCTTCATATACGTGTTTGGCGTAAAAAGTTATTAAAGTACGACCGTATTTGATTTAAAACAAATAATTTTTAGCTAAGTTTTTAGGATGCCTGCAAATATACCAGAGTGTCCATCAAGTCTAAAATCTATACAACATTACCTTAAAACTGCTACGGAACATGACGCTAGGGACCCTGTTGTTGCCTATTGGTGTCGCCTACACGCCCTACAAGTTGGCTTAAAGCTTACTAACAAGAAAACTCCCGAGGAAACTAAAATGTTAATGGGTAAGTTATATATTTTTTTATGTAGTATATATCTTAGTAATACTTAAATATACTGTTTATGTTAAACAGATGGTGTGCAAAACAGTGGATATTAACCGTACATAATTATCCAATAGAAATAATTTGGTAAAATATTTAAATTTTTAAGTAATTTCAATATGTATTTATCGAAATCTGAAATTAAAAATTGATTTATTTGATTAAATCTGAAATTAAAAAACACCTGTGAAAGCTCCCAGTTCTATTTGTTTTAAAATATTTCAAACAAAATCAAAAATTGATAATTGTTTTGTTTTTTCTATATAGATAAACACAATCACTATAATAAAGATAAGGTTTAGCTTTCCTTCAAGTCCATCAAATTGGAGATTGATATTTTTTTCCATGTAATTTTTAAGAAAAAAAAATATTCTTCTCTCAATTTGCAAAAAAAAGAGTAGGCTATTCTTCCCACAGCACCAGAAATGATGCAGTCTCAAAATACATACAAAAATCCCTCTGAATCAGACCCCCTTTTTTAATTAATTTAAATCCATAAAATGAGGAAAATTACCTCCAGACAACCAACGTAAAGTGAAAGTATGAAAAATACTTTCGCGTTACGTCTGGTGAGGGGGGTAGTCGGAGTCCAATTTTTAACAGGTTGCCAACACATCTGTAACCCTCGGGTTAGCAGATGTCCATGGGCAGCGGTATTCACTTACCATCAGGTGAACTGTCTGCTTGTTTGGCAACTTTTCACATAAAAAAAAATCTATATTTTAACAATTGTTATTGTCAGATTTACTAATATTTCACATTTTATAATTTAAGGATTAATGGACTGGCTGGAAGAAGAGAAGAATTTGCAAAAAGACAATGATGCTATTTCTAATGAGGTTGCCGCGCAGGCTCATCTTGAAAACTATGCCCTCAAGCTTTTTCTTTATGCTGACAAACAAGATAGAGAACAGAATTTTGGAAAGTAATTAAAATTTGATCACTTATTGTTCATGTTATGAAATTCTATAAATAAGATTCTGTAAAACAATATTTATTAAGATATGTTGAAAAAAACATCATAAAGCCTTTAAGATTAATCCATTTAAGTTTATGTTTCTTGACACTACATCTTCTAACTTTCATAATCTCTATATACTTATATCTCTTATATAGTTAACCTATCCTCAGTCTGTTATAAATTGTCACAGCGTTAAGGACTTTTTTAAATCATGGTGAAACTTTTTTTTAGAAATGTTGTCAAGGCATTTTACACAGCTGGTATGATATATGATGTTCTTACAACATTTGGTGAATTAACTGATGAAGCAGCTCAGAACAGAAAGTATGCTAAGTGGAAAGCGGCATACATCCATAATTGTCTCAAAAATGGAGAAACACCTGTGCCAGGTATTTTTGGTATATTCATAAAATTAATAAGATTAAGATAGTTCATTTAAATAAATAAGATATTAGAAATTAATGATAACTTATTGACAACCTCTTAGAAGGTTATCATAGTCAAAAATTGCCAACCTGATTTGTGATCACTACATCTTGGTATATGATATAGCAAATGTACTAGAAGAATTCAACAAAGTAGCAATAGTAATGCATTTTGAGGTAATGATTTTTTTTGTGTATTAATGAAAGTTGTTATTTTTAACCAACTCATTAATGTAAAAGTATTAAGTAAGTTAATTATATACTTCATTATTTTTATATTGCAGGCCCACTATCCACAGGGGAAGAAAGACCAGAGAATGAGGGTACAGAAAATGACAATGCACCTATAGGTTTTACACAGAATCCAGGGATCAATCCACAAACTACACCTACTACATTGCCAGTCATACCAACAAGTTTTAGCAGTACACTGCCTGACCCAAATGCTGCAATGAGAGCTGCATCTCAATTACCACCGGTGCCTTATACTCCTGATCCCAATCCTGGTGGATTTGTACCATATGACCCATCACAGCAAAGTCAGCCTTTGCAACCCACATATGGTGATAGTTCTTTAATGGTAGCACAGCTTAGCCCCGATCAAATAGCTAAAGCCCAGAAGTATTGTAAGTGGGCCAGTAGTGCTCTCAATTATGATGATATTAAGACGGCAATAAATAATCTTAAGAATGCTTTGGAGTTGTTACAAACAGGCAGAGATCCCGCTTAACAGACTGGTATAAAATTAAAGTATAAAATTGTGAGTTATAATTTAAATATTATTTTATCTTTACTACTTCTTGGCCTATGTTCTATGTTGATTATCCCCTTTAATTGCGGTTGCATAAAAGATTATAAAAATGCTTAATTTATGTATTAATATAGAAATATATTGTGTAATAATATGTACAATAATTGTGATTTATCATTTGAAGGAGTATACTTTGGTAGGTATAATAGTGATATTTTGATAATGTAAATAAATTTATATTTGTGCTTTAAATACAAACGATTTGTTTATGATATTGTTTTATTTATGTAAAACATAAACCAGTACCTACAGATAAAATCAGAAAGAATCTGGCTATGTAATATTTGAAATTTTTGAAAAAGACAAAATTTGAATAGAATATTTTTTATGGTGTTATTTCTTTACATAATTTGGTCTCTGATTGTCGCCATATGACTTTTGACTAATGTTATAGTCTGGTGCGACTCGCAAAATAAAGATAATTTATCTGTGGAAGAAATCATCAAAATCGTCCCATTTGATGTCTAGAGCGCCACAAAGGAACATAATATGCAGCGTGTCGTTACCATCGCGACAATAAATGAACACACATATAGAGGATAACTTTTAAAAATTGTATTAAACATTTACATTCTTTAAACATCAATATTTACCGAGTTATTAAATTTTCCAAAACAAAGAATTTTAGAACACTTAGGTATAAAACTGTAACGTAAAGTTCATTTGTAAAGGTCACAAGGCATTTGAATTGGTTGAATGAATTTAAAAGAGACAAAACATACTGTTAGAAGGAGAGGCTTGCAATTCGACGCTGTGGCGCTCGTTGTATAGGATGTTACAAATTTTGTTTCTTTTTTACTTAATTAGTTTGTTTGACTACCGCGTTGTCAACAAGTTCTGTTTTTAAGAAATTAACATTCTGTTAGCAACATTTTAAGTGTGAAAGGACGTTTTCGTGACATTTGTTACGTGTGCTTCATAAAATGTTGCACACGTAACAACCTGGGGTAACAACGTGGCAACCTGGGGTAGTTGAAGCAGTCACAACTCAGTGTTTAATGATTATATAAGTATCATCATAATTATAAATCAGTTTCTATAATTTAATAATAAAAGAAACGAAAATATTAAGTAGGTACCTATGGAAGTGTTTAAGCATTTTATTATAAGCTATTATACCTACTTATCGAGAGCTTAATTTACATTATGACTTCCATGTTACAATTAGATTCATTGTTTTGTTTCTCCCATTATTTAGTCTTACTACATTTTTAATACACGAAATTAAGATTTAAATGCGCAATATGTAATAATCACTCGTATCACCATAACATCTTTATTTCTTTCTTGAATTAGAATAAAAAAGACATTCCTGATTTAGAAGTTATTTTATTGAGTATTTTCCGTGTTAAATATTAACAACCGCTTGCTTTATTAATCAACATAAAAATATGGATTTTCGGTTGTGTAACAAATTAAACCTATACTTTTATATGACCTTGTTTTGCTAATTGAGCAGGTTTTTACATTTTGTAGTGTTTATTACAATTTAAGATTTTTTCGAGTTTCATCTAAGTTTACTAAAAACTCAGTGGCAGTTTTATATTTACCCCAACACTACATAATATAAATACACAAAACAACAACATATCGCAAACACACACAACACACACGCAACGATCTAACATTACATATAGCTTAATATAATATCACTTAAAAGAAATGTAGTGTAGTGATAGTAATCAAATGATTATTGCCAATATTGTGAACGATGTAAAACATAAAACGACTTTATATTGGTCACAAAACTATTGCAAATACATATTTAACAATACATCAGCTACTTTATTTATGAATTCTTTTAGACTATAAAGCAGTGCAAATAAAACGACAAACTATTGTGAGTTGACTAGTAAAATCACAGCGAGGAACAATTATAACAAAACAAATAGGTCTAATATTTCTTGTGCTGAAATTATCACTCTTGTGTCGTTGAATCAAATTTTTCAACAAGAAGTCTATAAAAAATTGATATCAAATTTAATATCATGTTTATCGCTTCAGCTTAGTCCCTCTTGAGACCGTTTCCGTTCTGCGTTGAGGCTGCTTTTTCTAACGCTTCGCGTCGGCTGGTCTGATACCTGAAAAGAAATTGAAGATCAATCACATTTGCGTCATGCGAATTGTTGGCGTGGCTGGAAATAGGCGCAAGAAATACACTTCCTCCCGCCCCGTATACAAATTCAAAGCATCATATTTCATATGATTCTAATGTATCGATAAAAATGTAAAAAAAATGCGGAATACGTTCTGAGGTATTACGGATGATTTAAGTACTGTTATTATGTATTAATTTCTAGTAATTGATCAATTAGAATGAGATCAATAAATAGGAAAGTCATCGAATTTCACTAAATCGAATGAAGTGCACATCAATTAACCGAAATACGAATTTGTACTACGACATGGTCGATTCCTGGCGGGCGGCCAGCGATGCCGGGGTACGGGCGTTGGATAGCACTAATTTTGTTTTGTAACTCCTGTTTACATCGACGAAAAATTGGTCAAGGCACTGTGGGGTACCGTCTCAATATACGATGGGGAATGGAACAGCAACAACAAGATGTTTAGTATACTTTTTTTTAGCTTTATAGACGTGAGCGCGGATAAATTTTTTATATTTTACAGGCATGTGCACTGGAAAAGTTATTAGGGGCGATGAAGTATGAGACGGTAAAATTAATTTCATCAGATGACGTCAATCGCAGCACACGGCTGCAACGGCTGTTTACAAAACTGGCACAGACTGGCAGCATTAACGTGTTTAGGGGCGACTTGTGATATAAGCTCAATGATTTACAGCACGCAACCATTGCCAATCACAAAAATATTTTGACTTTCCTTCGGCTGTAGCCAACAGGTATCATTTTACGAATCATATAGTGCCATATTAGTTACTTGTGTCTAAATAAAAAAGGGTGGTATCTTTTCTTTTTTTTGCATTCGTTTTACGTCAGCGGGTGTTTTTTTTTAATGATAAGAGATAAACGCCATCCATGAACATTTGCAACACTCTTGGAGTAGCAGATAGCCACTAAAAAACTGGACCGCCTGTGACCCCCAAAAAGAAATGAAATTTCTGAACTATGAGACGAGCCTGTCCATTCGTGCAACAGCATTAATTCGACTTCTCGGTATGTTTGAGCGTTTGGAAAAATTATGAGTAAAACTTTTACGATGACGCCGACCTTCAAAAAGTTATATGATGCCTGGTAAACAATTTAATCTTGGCACCCAATAAAAAAGGTTTTGACATACATATACCAATAATTCCAAGTTATTTAAATAATCCGTTCTAATTGATAACGGATTATTTAAATAACTTGGAATTATTATTTTATGGCATTTCATGTTTTTACGCTAAGGAAGTACGAGTATAATTACTTCTTACGTGCGTAGATAAGTACACAAATACTTTTTTTTCTTGGGACCAACGTTTACATTGTCAATCTAGTACAATTTTTGTCGTCTTTACTGATTTTAATAAGAAAAAACAGAAATTGCTAGACATCTTCAATTTAGAATTTTACAAATGTCGCGTCCATTTGGCGGGCGGTATTTGGTTATCCATAGGAATTCGATTACGTGCCAATGAAATGGACGCGTGCCAGATTTTGCCATCCGTTATTGGGTGATGTTTCAGTCTGAATTGGATTACAATTATGTAGGTGTAGGGAAAACAATTACCTGTGCATCTTAAGAGCGTGTTGTGTTTTCGGCTTTATTTTTAAAGAATTGGTTTAGTTATTATTGTCACGGAAGGTAGAAGAAATTTATTATTATGAAAAATAACTTCAATGTTAGGCTTGTTCATGGTTCTTTTTAATGAATTAGAGCCGAGCCCAGCATTTCTTGTTACATGAAAGGAGAGCTTGAGACCGGTGAAAAATTGAAGCATCCGTACCTCTACATTTCGTCTGGTGGGTGAGGTTAAGGGAGGACTACTGTCCTGAAGATTTCCACCCTTTCATAGCCGCACAAAATTAATGATGGCCATAAGTGGCGGTAGTCACTTAACATCAGGTGAACGGCCATTGCGTTTCTCTATTTGCCATTAAAAATTACATTCAGGCTTATTTCGAGTGGGTTTCGTAGTTTTCCCAGTAACATTTCAAGAGAAAATAACGTAAATAACTTTAGTCTATTAGCTTTCGAATCCAGACTTTCATGATGCAATTCAATTAGTATAGAGCAAACATTTCCAACAAAAAGAAGACATTTACAACAGAAAGAAGAGTTTGCGGATATCCACTTTCTTGTCACCAACCTTTTATGCCATTTATTAACTGTAGGACCACGCAATCGTTTGTCGTAGCACGAATGGGCAGTTCCGTCCGTGGAAGTACCACAACCTCACAGAAGAGCGGCGTGAAGTGTGTTATACTTCTGCGTTTCGTCTGGTGAGTGTGGTATAGCGATGTGCGACTCGAGTTAATTGACTCGAGTAACTCGAGTCAAACCTTAAACGAGTCAACTCGAGTTCAGTTTTAAGCAACTCGAATCAACTCGGTCGTCCGAACGCAAGCCGGACGCGGGGGCCTCACGAGTTGTTCCGAGTTACACACGCGGCTCGCGCGCGGGGTTCGTTAGGCGTTGCAACTCGCATCAACTCGAGTTGAGTGAAATGTAAAGTTACGTTTCACGCGCGCGCGCCGTACGTAAGGTGTTGCATCTTACTCGCATCAACTCGAATAGAACTCGGGTTGAGTCGGGCTCGTTCGGCTAGGATCGGAGACGGAATTGCGCAAATGATAAACCGCTTTAAAAGTTTATTTTGTTTTTTGGTTGACATTTTGTTATTTGATTTTATTAGTTGGCCGTTGGCGATCCGCGTGCGAACTGATATTTTTGATTTGTTAGTGATCTGTTTTGTTTTGTTTGTAACGACGTCAAATAACAGAAGTGTGGCGTGGGAATTGTTTGCTATAAAAACAGAAACTTTTTTTAACTTTATTTTCGATAAGCAATCGACTATGTACAATTACATTTTATAAGTACACGATTCAACATCATTATTACTTCCTATATCATTATTACTCGTGCTCTCCGAGTTGGCCGAGTCGTCCTCCCCCCCCCCCCCCCCCCCACCCCCTATGTCCCTACCTGAGACTTCGATGCGAGTCAACTCGAGTTGCGAATCGAGTCAGTAGCCAAATCAACTCGAGTAACTCGAGTCAAAAAAAATCCAACTCGTTACATCACTGGTGTGGTAGCTGGGCCCGCTTTATTAAAAGGCGGGGAAAGCATTTGCAACTGCGGAGTGCACTACAGGTGTTGCAAATGTTATCACTTAACATCGGGTGAACCTCCAGCTCGCTTGCCACCTTCTCACATAAATAAACCCTATTTTACTTGTTGGACTCCCGGTCAAAAATGCACACTAAGAACCCACGCCGCACCTGCCATTGTCGCGTGTAGGGAACACGAATACGTAACCTTCCTCGATCCTAGCGGTTAGCATACCCTGCTTGATGACTCCGTGTGGCGCAGTTGCCAAAGTATTGGTTTCGGCACCGGGGGTTGTAGGTTCGATTCCCACGAGACGACTATTTCTGTGACCCACACATTTTTTTTCGGATCTGGGTGGTTCAAGTTAAATTTGTGTATGTAAAATGCCCTTACGACACAAGATAATGTTACCCTACAGTAAGGGAGCAATGTTATCGCAGTAGTCGTTGGGACTTACCCGACCCCCTACACATTAAACGCAAATACCCTGCTTTGGTGGCCCTAAAAATAAAACGAATGCATCGCATCCCTTATGATGTTTGCCGGTCACTATTCTCAACACCTATATGGGTAACGTAAGAGAGTAAGGCTGGGGCGCGTGCTGAGACTAGTGCGATTTTATGGAGAAGTATACGAACCACACGACCAGCCGGCCGCTGAGCATGAAGAAGAAGACCAGCGCGGGGGCGCAGCGGTCGAAAGGATCGCCCACCATCACGTGGGAGTAGGCAGCCAGTATCATCAGCAGCACTAGCCCCACGTTGGCCGCATTCTTTACCTTGTCTACGATAGATCAGGGCGATTACTTTACTTTGATGTATTGTTAACTGAATGCGTTCATGCAAAACGGATCCAATAACAAATAACTTTCGAGATAAAGTTGTGAAAGGTCAAATAAAATCTAGTTAGAGGTACATTTAAAAATAAACGAACTACTACTATGCATTAAAAATAGTTTAAAAAATATCACCTTGTTTTCAATAAGCATAGATTCCAAACTAAATGTGTTGTTTAATATTTATACAATATTGGACGGAATAACAATATTACTAAAAGAAACAATAAATAATTTTGAAACTGTTCTAGTAAAATTTCCAAAAAACTAATCTATATCTTTCGATTTGGATATTCTGCATAGCCACGTCCAATTACGATAACGTAAACATCAAACTATGGTTTAAGCCATTATTTAAAGGTTATTGATGTGCGAAACACGGATGGGCCATTTCCCTAATGCTGTTTATGTCGGTAAGTGCCTCCACGTTTCGGAATATATTTCTAGAAATGTCTTTATGTCCAAACTCGTTTTTACCATTACTTACAATAATTGTTTTGTGTTAAAGAATATAATTATTTCATGAATATTTTAATAAATCAAAACGATTTCATGTGTCACATGTTTTAGTGGTTTATTTGTAAAGATTTCAACTCAGTATAAATGGTTTATTTTTTGCAATCAATTTTGATTAAGGCGCTATATGCAGTAAAAACAGGTTTTTCAAAAATTTTTTTTGCAAAATATATACATTTTATAGAAGCAAAAAAAAATATGTTAATATTGATCTTACATTCTAATGGACCATTGTTTTCAAAACATATTCTCGATAGAAAAAAATCACGAACCTACCTGTCTGACCACAAGCTTCCAGATAACTTCTCAAGTAAAATGGATTCAGATTTCAGAGATATCATTTTGTCAAAATTTTTAAGAGCCCGTATTAGGTATGAATTGTTGCACTTGATAATGAAATATTTGAATTTTTATAACAAAAAGCTCAGAAAATGTAAACATCCGGATCATTTTTAAAACGCCGAATTCGCACATTCCGATATAGCTCTGACAATATTTTCTACTTTAATATTATTAACTAGCTGTTGCCCGGAACTACGTCCGCGTGGAATAGTATGAAAGCGAAAAATTCAGACAGATATCTATACATATAATAAAAATGTTACTTGTGTTTGTCGGTACACGGAAGATATTTGAGAAAAACTATTATTAAAGATCCTCCTTTATCAATACAATAGAACCCAAAACAATGGTTGTTAAAATTTTTGTCCGTGTGTATGTGCGTTTGTGCGCGTAATCTCGGAAACGGCTTAACCGATTTGGATGCAACTTTCACTTATGCATTGTAGTACTTCACTTAACATTTAGTGTTAGTTTTATTCAAATCGGTTCATAAATAAAAAAAATAAATCAACTTAAAAAAAGTAATCGCTACAGCTGAATTGGATGAAACTATAGTTAACTTCAATTATATTATGGTCTATAAAATGATGATGATTGTTAGATTATATAAATTTAAAAACCAGCCAAATGCGAGTCGCAATCGTGAACGAAGAGTTCCATACCATAATCTATAAAAAAGGCAATAAAATTATGTCCGTTGTAGGAGAGCCCCACTTAAAAAAAATATTCTGATTTACTTTATTTGTTGTTATAGCGTTAACAGTGAAAATTTCAACTGTCTAAATATAACAGTTTATGAGATACATGTATCAAACAGATGCTAGCAGTCTACAGTGTAGCTAGCATCAGTTTGATTGAACTCACTAATCTCAGCTATTACTGGTCCGATTAGAAAAATTCTTGCACTGTTAGATAGCCAATTTATTGAGGAAGGCTACTTTTTAAGTACGATATAAAATGTGGTACATACGGGCCGAACCGCGGGCGAAAAGCTAGGCTGATACAATTTGTGAGTCAGTGATAAAAAAAAGGTAAATTCAAACATAATTTAATTACAAACGACAAAGCAAAAAAAAAACAAACATAATATCCGAATATATCCTAGCCTAACCAAATCTATATTCCTAAACAGTGACAGAATTGTCCGTTGCTCGCCCTAGGCTCATTAAAGATTAAGAGAAAAGACTCGCTGGAAGGCACAAAAAATTAAACAAAGAAAGTTAGTACATGACATTATGGAGCCGACGAATGGTACCTACTTATCAGGCCCGCTTGATTTATTATAATATTCATGGAATATCGCCTACGCAAAGAAGCGAAAGGCAAGCAACGCTACTAAAAGACTCCACTAATTTGCAGTCCCCTACATTTGGCCCGCCGAGTACGCGGCCTATAGAGAAATCCACTACTGTTCCTAACAACTAACCAAATCGCAAACCAAAATCAAGAATATCCCTATACCGAGCAAAACTAAAATCGTACCGATCGTATAAATCGTAATTGAAGAAATTAGCATTACTATTATTAAAATGCAAATGGTCGGCACTTGTCCCTTAATTATCTTGTGAAAATAATTATGTATACAGCGCATTTTATGAAGAACAACGCCATCTAGTTTTTGCATGGGAACTAAATCTTTTTACTTAGCTTTTTTTTAGTGAACCAATTGCAATAAAACAAAGCTTTAATGTTGCACAGAATTAATCTTGAATACTTACAAAAACACCATACAAATTAATCCAGTAGTAGGATAACTGTGATAACTGTTTGCGACTGCACTGCTTTAATCTTAAAACTCCCATATCTCCCGTTTGAGTGAACCGATTGAGATGAAACAAAGCCTAGGTCCTGCCCCAAGCTTTGCTTAAGTAACCCGTGAAAACTGCATCAAAATCCGATAAGTAGTTTTCAAGTTTATCGCTAACAGACCGACAGACAGACAAAAATTCCAAAAATGGTTTTTATGTTTCCTATAACACTTTTTATGATACCCTTCATTTTTTCATAAAAATATTCAATGTACAGACACGCCGATTCTACTCTTTTATTATAGTATAGATAGGAATATTGCACGTTGAGAATTTAAACGATGTTCTAATTTTTAAATGAAATTTCCGACCTCTCTCTCGGACGTTTTATTTACAACATCCAACACATTCACGGACACAAGATAGTTCTTACTTCCAAATGTCATGGTTACAGCTGGATTTTTGTTATTTTTTCCGGTCCGATTTACGCAAAGTAAGCTTTTTACTTCCAGATTCGGTGTGCCTACGCAGATTGGGTACACAGACGCGAAACTCAATAAAAGCTGGGGAAACTCATGTTGAAGCGCTTCGAAGGCTTATAACTTACTCGTAGACATGTACGTAATAATAAATAAAAAAAACATATTGTTAATATTTTGAAAGAAAATACAATCTGTTTTCGAGACAGCATAACTTCAAAACTTATTCGGGAACTAATCATGAAACCGTGCATTGTATTTTCATGAAACATAACTTCCATACGACCTTCATAATTGAAACAACACGGAGATCGAATGAAACAAGACGAACAACGAACACGTGCTTTATAAATAAAAACCTATCATCGTTTTAAATCAAACTTCCGCATCAAACCTAGCACCGCGCGATTTCGGGTACATAGATAAATAGAATGTTTATTTTCGTGAACTAGCCACGCCGCGCGGGAATTTCTCCGTTTCGCTCATTCAAAAGCGCGGGAACGGGCGGACGTTATCTGTGCCATAGATAATATTTTTGGCGGTGCGTTAACCGTAGAGCTCGTTAGAGCGGTCATGCCGCGCGTAATACACCGGTCTGCATTGTAAACATCGCGCGGACAGTTTAACGGCCACTTAAAAGCTTGAAGCCGTACCGAATGCATAGAGAATCGACGCTAATAAACTTGTGTCGGTATATAAAAATGTCCGACGCGGGGAGTTAAAACCCGTAATGTTTTCGGTAGTATTCCCGTAATAATAGTACGCCGAGGTTCAGGCTAGGCGCCTCGTGCGCCAGGCCACCTCAAGTCCGTTGGATCTGTGAAGGCCCCTAAGGCCAACAGTGGCTCATCCAGCCCAAAAAAAAAAAAAAAAAAATGAAGGCGTTCGTTGATGCGTTCAAAAACCGAATATTTCGAGAGGATAGAAATATTCCTTCAAAATTTTAATCTGATCTGACCCTAGCTTTTTGCATATCTTTCTTATTTATTTATAAAACTCACAATGTCGAATCCTATACAGTATATTATCCTTACTAATATTATAAAGGCGAAAGATTGTATGGATGGATGGATGTTTGTTACTTTTTCACGCAAATACTACTGAATGGATTTTAATGAAACTTTACAATAATATAGCTTATACATCAGAATAAGACATAGGCTATAATTTATATAAATATTTAATGTATATCTGTCTTTCTGCTTAATGTTACACCTTCAGACTATTCTACGCAGACGTAGTCGCGGGCAGCAGCTAGTATAGAATAATTTAAACGCTTTGATTTTATCGTCTCTATAACTTACTACGCAGCCGTAAATGTAAAGAAAGTGTCTCTATAATACATAATAATTATTATGTATTTGTCTAATCACACACATGTTGTAAAACGCGCATAGGATCGATCTATTTTATTGTTGGAACTAAAATAGCAGACAGCGTCCGAGTAACAGCAGCAGGTGATACTAGTATGATGAAAATATCAAATTATATAAGACTATTGGGAGCAACAGTTGGTTTTATGTGTTACACTGCTTTTAAAGTCCTTATGAACGGAATAAGTTAAATACAGGTCACAACACAAATTCATCGTTAGATTTTTTACATTTAATGATTATGAGTACCTATTACTATTATTGTAGCTGTTGCTCGGTTATGGTAGGACACTAAATATATAACACTGATACGGAGATATTACTAACTAAGACAACTATACAGAAAATATTCATAAGGAATATATATTAATAATACACAAAAAGAAGTAATGCTTACGGCTAGGAATGGCTGCCATCGCCAGGCCGAAGAGTATTTCTAGTCCACCAACGGTTCTTCTGTACCATTTCGATGGTAATTTGAAATCCAACATTTCGGTTAAAGGAAACACTTTTGCATATCTCACATATTCTTTCCTCTGAAAATAAAGAAGGTCCGAATGATTATTTGTGATCAATGTACATATAATTATAATTATATTCGCCTCTTTCGTGTTTCTGGATACATAATTTTTAATGCGTTATCTCATTAATCTTTAAGTAAACATTAACTTAATAACGCGATTAAGTATATAGTAATATTATAAAGGTTAGCTCTATGTTGCGACATAGCGAAAAAGATTATTAGGAGATTAGCTTGAGCCTTTTGTCCTATCGTGTAATAGAAAAGGGCAATTTACGACAGTTTTCAATATTCTATCTACAGATAGATTTAGTTACTGGGCATAGAGTTTTATTATGGAACTAATGTCAAATACCGCTAGTACACAAATCTGATAGAATATTGAATCCGGTCGTTAGTCGACGTTTAAAATAAAACTGAACTGCTATACATTGACTGCATGCTCGTTATGCGATACCTGATGTACGCGATGTTTTCCCTCCGTACGTAGTCTACACTTAGTTTTAGCCTATTTCTAGTCCGGTCAAAAATTTTCCCCTTCTTTGAAAGCGTCGACGTGGTTGGTTTCAGGTGACAAAGTAATTCGCAAATAGTGGAATTATTCTTTTCTTTCCATAGCAGGACGGTGACAAAGGAGCGATCGATATATCTGATATTACCTAATTGCTTAACGATGCCAATTACCTTCGGATTAAAAGTAACGAGTGTCATTTGTGTTCATTGTTGCAACTTTAACTTTAACTTGCTTTCAGTTTCCTTGGAAATATCTAAATAGGCAAGCGACGTTAAGTTATTAAATACGCAAAGAGGATGTGTTGGAGGGATAGAAGTGTCTACTAATGTTAATTTCTTCTTTCGATACCTCTTTTAGCGTTACTGTCTTTTATGACAATTTTAATGAGATTAGAGGGTTCTGATGATCGACTTTTTAGAATACTTTTTTTTATCTATACAACAAACGTTAATTAGACCAACAAAGAACAATAAAGCAAAGAAAAAAAAAAACAAAGAACATTTCCTAAGTAATTCATATTCCGGTCATTTGCATTATGATTGATTATTTTACGATCAACTGACAGCCTTCCAATGCGTCCTTTACGATTTCTAAAATCAATGATGTTTAATTAGTGTGCTAGTGTCATATCTACCTCTCATTTGTATATAATAATCATTGGGTGAAACCATTCAGCGCATATTTCTCAATAAACATGTTGAGTTTCAAAGTGTTATTTCATTTTAAGTTGATAAAAGTTAAGAAAGAACAAGGTATAATTAAGAAGAGGTTGTTGTCCTATGACCTCGTGAACACGATATTAGTTGGCGTAACCAATTATTTAAAGTCCGTGTGCATGTTTTCTTACCCATCGACCTCCAAAGGTTGATCTAAACGTTCGATCGGTTACACAAAACCATTTTACGGATTGTATTGCGTTTTATTGTGATTTTAAATTCCCGTCGCTTCGAAACATTTCGCGACGTTCATGGTTACGGGATAGACCGATGTATTACGTCATAATGTCAGAGTTATTCTGAAATACATCCACTGGCTTAGCTTACAAAGTCATCTTTCAAACAATCCATCAACTTGTCTACGTTTTCTACTCGAACACTAGAAATACAGCTAATAATAGATCAGCTTAAGGGTGGGTGGGTAGAGAGAGATGCAGGATTTATTATTTCCGCGATTTTTCCACGTCTCGTTCACCTCATCCACGTCCATTCGATTTGCCCATGGTTCCGTCCACGCCTATCGTTAGCGAGTTCTATTCTGACATTTCATATGCTGTATCAATAGGATTTTATCGCTTTCCGTATATCTCAATATCTCCCAATCTAACTCTTCCTTATTATATTTCTTCGCTTTCATGTCTTCATCTTTTTCGAGATTTTGTATTCGCCCCTACGCTCAGTTTACTCACCAAGGAAAAAGAAGGAATACGCAGAGCAAGAAGTTCCAATGCTTCCTACTTCGTCTCTACGCTCCCCTAATTTTATCAAGTTTTATCCCTGTTGTAGCTCGTGTCCAGATGATCGGTAGAAACCATGACGTAGTCGTTTTTATACATTTTCATATAAAAAACATTGCCCTTACTTACGTAAAGGCGTTTTACAAACAAATTTAACGTGGACAAACACCCAGAGACGAAACAACTATCTGTGGGTTACAGAAATAGTTGTCCCGTGTGGCAATCGAAATACGACCCCCGACGTCGGAGCCAATATTATGGCAACTGCGCTACGGATCTAAACTGCTGACTTCAATTTTAGGGACATTCTTATACCTATTATGTCACCCGCCTGCGTTCCGACACAATACATTGAAACTGGTCTTAAAAATTATATTATTAACACTTCTTATAAACATTCCCTGACATTTTTTTTATATTCATATATTCACAGCTGTCGTTATTCAAGTCAAGCTGGGGGGGGGGGGGGGGGGGGGGGGGGGGGGTAAATCAGTGATGAATGTTGTATTCTATATTCAGGGGTATAGAATCAAAAGTGGTTATGTCCTTGTAAACAAACATCACAGGATCTATCCTTACTTTTAAAGCTCTAACCGTAATGTTTGAAATAAAAAAAACCGAATATTTGTTGTTTGTTTTCTCATGTTTTGTTCGCTGGGCAAACATTTGCGGATAGAAGTTTGGCTGCGGCAATAGTGCGGTCCAGAAACCTCTAGTTTATGCATAAACGCATGTATTTCTGTGTTTAGGTCCCCGTTATGTGGGACTTTTATGATCTCCCCCTCCTTTTACTGGAAATTCGCCAATTTCAAAACTTCGCACAACTAGGTTCAATACGCGTCCTTTCATCAAGCAGATAGCTGCTAAAGACATTTTCTGGACTTGTAATGATTGTTTGTTGACTTTTACTGTTACATTTTTTTCTTTGAAAAAGAATAGCTAGGCGGCATTTTAATCCCATACAAGAGATTTTTCATCATATTTTTTGCCGTACGTTTTTTACATAAAGATAAAGAATACATTGGTGCTCCCATACAGAACACTTCGTGCGCGGTACAGAACACTTCGTGCGCGAGTTCTACTCGCACTTGGCCGGTTTTTAAGAAATGGCGTATGAAATTTACGTAAGACAAGGTCCGTAATTTTACTACAGTCAAATAATTTGCTCTTATGTGTCCACAAAATGTAGCACTCTTGGCAAAGTCTTGGTCTAATGGCTAAAACAAAATAAAATTCACTATAAAACAATAACTTCTTAGTAGAATAATAATCGATGAAAATTCTACGTTTCGGTGTGGGCTGCTGCTATGGTCCATTTATAGTGGAAGTCGTATTAAGTTTGTGAATAAATGCATACCGCCTTTGGTTCCGTGACCGAATAATACAAGTTGATATGCCATTGTATTGCCAAAAATCATAAACCGGATTAAAAATATAACAATGAGCACTTTGCAACAATGTATTACACACAAGTAAAAAAGTTTTCTAAATTACAAATATCCCCAAATATTAATAAACATACCCAATTCAAAATTCAACGCAATTTAGCAGTTTTATTGTTTATCTAAACTAGATTAAAACACTAATCTATACTTCGCTTTGAATCTAGCAGTCACAATTTTAGAGAATTTAAAATCCGGGTTTTTAGCTAAACTCTTCTCTTTTGATGAATAACATATAGTTCAATAGATCTAGGGACCTGGAATACAACCCTGGAAAAATTTAACTTAGTTCTTTTTTTTTGTTTTTAAATGGAATGCTGTCATTGGTTAATTTGGATGTAGCCACTAATATACTAAATCAAAGGGACAAGACCAAGTTAATTCTAAACCTATTTTTATTTTAAAAATAACAAGTAATTGGGCCATGTTTCATGTAAAAAATTTTTTTGAGGTGCAATGCATGAATTTTTATTTTCAACTCGGATATAAATATTTTTAGTGTATATTGTAAACTGGTCAGTTAATAAAACTCGAATTTTGTTTAAGCCCGGTTAGTGGCAGAGTCTTTGTAACACTTAACTTTAGGACAAAAGTCTGTAACATGTATTTTGTAATGATGTTCCCACACAATTCAAATTGGTAACAGCAGTTTAAACTCCAATTTTACAAAGACATTTTTGAAAAACAAAAAATAAAATGAAAGGCGCCATACGTAATATTTTAATATTACATATTGCACCTTTCATTTTATTTCATTATGTAATATTAGAATATATACAAATTATAATATTACATATTTACTTTTGGTAAAATCATGTATAGGCCATATATAGCATACTCTTACATTGATTAAAACATATGTCGAAAATGATAATGTGATGAATTCAGATAGAAGAATAAATGCCCTTGGGATCTGCACTGTATATAAATATTTGTTAAGTATTAAGCATTCATACACATTATTTTTTAATTACTGCCCTTACATGTAAAAAAAAGCCAATAAAAGATGCCAGCCAAAAGAAATAACATCAGTTTTAAATTAGTACACTCAATATTTTTTTTTACTTGAAGTCAAACAAATCATCACATAGAATAGAAAAAAAAATACTTCAAAGATAAGTGAAGTGGGCAAATCCGCAGTTGGGATGCATGGTGGACTATGCCCGGATGCCCTCTTTACAGAGGCTTTTGCCCAGCAGTAGGACATGTATTAATATACTTTACTTTATAATGGAAAATTGATAATTACGTGACAACTAATTAGAAAATTTTATGGAAGATTGCAGTAATAAATTATAGTACACTAGCTATTCTATGTGTCACTAGCGCTTCTCCTTATAGATTACAGTTGTGCAGTTGCACAGCCTTGAGCTTCAAGCCTTTGAGTCCTTGTGGGCTATGCAGATCATTGAAGTTTAATAATATAGCTGATGCATGTCCATACTGCGCGGCATTTATAAAATGCTCCGCTTTATATTATGTGACATATACAGCATGTCTTTACAATCGCGACAATAAATGTACACACATATAGAGGATAACTTTTTAAAATTGTATTAAACATTTACATTCTTTAAACATCAATATTTATCGAGTTATAAAATTTTCCAAAACAAAGAATTTTAGAACAACCTTACGTATCAAAACTGTAACGTAAAGTTCATTTGTAAAGGTCACAAAGCATATGAATGAGTTAAATGAATTTAAAAGAGACAAAACAAACTGTTAGAAGGAGAGGCTTGTAATGCGATGCTGTGGCGACGAATGAAAAAGTCTCGGAATGTATGAATCAGTCAGTTGTAGTTGTATAGGATGTTACAATTTTGTTTCTTTTTTACTTAATTAGTTTGGTTCAAAAATATTTTTTTTAATTATAGATTTTTTTTAACGTTAATATTTTTTTATTATTATTGGCAAGTAGCGTTAGACGTGTGTTCATTTATTTTCGCGATGGTAACGACACGCTGTATAAAGGAATGTGACAGATTATATAGAACATATGATACGGAAAGATCGGTCTCTAGAATTGCAATCTAATTACACCAATTGGTGTATTTTGAGTGCCTCAGTTTCGGTGGGCTAGTGCACTAGTGCCTCTAACTCGTATTTCTATTCAGTAACATTAAAGCAGATGTGTGTAAAGTAAATTGTATTTTTGTTAAGGTTCAGGTCACGATTCACGCAGTTTTATTCAATAAAATATTTTGAATAAATTCAATAGCTACATTTTAAATTCGTGAAGGTAAATGTTACATATAAATGTGAAAAATTTAGCTTCTCTATTGTTTGTTATTACAAATACTTGGTAAAATAAAAACCGAATAATTTATACATTCGCGACAGATAACGTCACTCTGAGACATCTCTACGTTAGTATTTAGGCCGCAAGCCAAATACAAAAATAGCTAAGCACAACGCTCCGCAACCGAATTCTCAGTGCATCAAGCGACCTTTTTTTTCGTAATTATGTTTAGAGCATGTACTTACCAAATCTTTATGCAATTCCTTAGAAATAAACGGAGTTAGTTTAGTTATCCCAACAAATATAAAAAACACCCCCAATAGAATTGATAGACTTTTTAATACAATCGAGCCCATGATTTATTAACTTGATTTTATTTTATCTACGACACAATGTTATACTTCCATAAACAGTTAAAGAATTCAGTTCTTTAAACGATCTTTAAATCAAATCATAGTGAGCACAAAAATTTATCACATTAAGAATAAAACTATTCGTTTTGCTACAAATTCATACATCATTAGCGTACCTATATATTTTACGCAAAATTTACAAGGAAGTTACGAGCAAGCATCATTCGCGCCGGCGCGAAAAAAATCTATACTAACGTTTTTAATACCTATGTATTTGGTTTGAATTCTTAATTTTTGGCCAATGGCAAAAGTTGCCAGATGAAAAAAATAAATAATGCTAAAAATTATCGATTTTTTTACAATGATTTTTCTGTCTTATATTTATAATTACTTTTCAATTTACTTTTGATGTAGTGGCATGATTACTTATTATAAATGACCTAAGTCGTACTTGTCACCTAAGCAAACCCTCTTCATGATTCGCAAGCGCTGCAATAAATCTAACTATAGTCCCGTTACTTAAATCCACGATAGTTATTTCACAGTCACAGTTTGCAATTAAAATAAGACACAAATAACCTTACACTTTGAAAATATTATGATGAAGATGTTATGGTTCAGGGAGAAACCATCATCAATTCTCGTATGTGTCACAGATTGCAGAATTGTAATACAAAGAATCTTAAAGTACACGAAGCTGCTCCTGCTGTTGCACGAATGGGCAGGCTCTTCTAGCGAAGTACTATGGCCTCAGAGAAAACCGATGCGAACTATATTTTTGCGCTTCATCTGAGTTGTAAGATAACTGTGGGTACCTTTTTAGAGATAGGCAATATATCTTTAATATTTGGTGTAATGTATGTACAATCGAGGCAGAAGCCCCCAATTTACATCAGGTGATCGACCTACTAAAATAGCAGTTGATTCATCATTCAGCCAGTTATTCCACATAAAAAGTGATTAATATGAGATCACAGTATCATTAATATAAGATAACTGTCTTAGATGAAAATTATAATGAAAAAACAAAACTTAAAATGTTATTATATTTTTATTTGAAATTCCGTCTTTCATTAAACTAATGGAATATTCTTTCATAAAACTTGTTGAACCACATAATAAACATTGATCATCATTTGTAAAAGGTCTTAATACCATAAATTCTTCATAATTAAATTTCCGATTATTGACTGGCTCTTTATATTTATAATTTTCCTGGAGCTGTTAAAGAACTTAAAAATATTTTGTAAGTGAAATTCCAAAATGATTGATAATTGTATAATTCATTTCTAAATAGTATTAAATCTTCAGAAGAACAGCAATAAAAAAAGATTATGTTTGTCATATCATCTTCATTATCTAGTATACTGTCTATAACTGATATGAGTGGTGCTATACCCGTTCCTTGAGCAAGCATAATAATTCTTTTGTATTTATTTGGCACTATATTATAAGAACCATAAGGCCCACGCCATTGTGTTTTTTCTCCTTCTTTTAGGTCAAAAAGATATTTAGAGACTAAACCTGAGTTACAATGTTTTAAGATAATAGAAAAATCATATTTTTCTCCAAAATTTTGTTTTAGTTTTATAGGTGTGTAAGCTCGACTGCATGATTTTTTACCCGTGCTGAATTTTAATAAAAAATGATCTCCAGGATTCCACCAAACTCTAGGTGTTGATTTATGTTCCACTCCTAATCTCTTGAAACTAATAAGTTTATGAGAATCACACACAACTGTTGTATTAAAAGTAAAGAAACTTGTATATTCTAGTTGCGATATGCCATTATCAGCTTGTATAGGCAAGTCTTCATTGTTCTTGAGTTTTTTATATAAAGACAACTGTTTTTCATAAACATCAAAAATACAAGGATTGCAACCACTATTACAACAATCTTCTTTGCTTGGTTCCACAGGTTGTTTCATAATTTTGCGTCTAATAACTGTTACAAATCTAAGCATTAGATTAGCACTTATTATTTACTGATCCAAATCCAAGCATTTTTATAGAATATAAATTATAAACTTTTCATGAGCAGAAAACAAAATTATTCCAAGTGAAATAAAATATTTTTGGCTGTTCTTCAACATTTGTACTTGACTCACAACCGCACACCTATTTACTTTACATTACTAAATTTAACATTAAAACCAGAAATATAAAAGTACTCTTTGATTAAAACAGTACATATTACAATTCAAATAAAATAATACAGACAGAACACACACACATACGTAGAAATGTAGAAAGAAAAGAAAGATCGATTTTAGACAATTTATTGACAGTACAGACATTAAATATAGTTATACTTTTCTTTGGATTTTATGGCCCGGTATCAAGGACCTTTAGGCCATATATAATTATAAATTATTGTTTAGAGTGTAATGTTGATTAAAACTTAGAATTTGTACACAGCTTAGATGAATAACAAAGCGGAGTGGATAAAATTATTCATACTCAGTATTTTATTTTTATGGTACTCTGTGGGTGGCTAATTCAATTTTTTTTTTTGATTTTTGTTGACGGAAGTAACGTCATCATAATTTATACGTAAGAAATTATGATGACATTCAAGTACCTGTTTCGAATGAATAATTTATTATTAATATAACATTTGATTAATCTTTGTAAAGCACATGAATAATAAATATAATTAAATTATAATATGCTATTTATTATTTATGTTAATATTTAATAATTTCAGTGATATATGCCGTCAACGCCAAAGAAGTTTTACTTGAATCGCGTGTAAAGGTTACACGCACACACTTTTTTAAAATAGTAGCGAATAATATCGAAGATTTTATAGTATAACATACACATTCTAGTGATTATTTATAGATACACTTTATATACAGATGCACGGTCATAGAATTTTAACTATATTTTTCCTTTGTTGTTGTTTCTATTGGATATCATTGATTTTAGTACTAATTTTTAGTACTATTGATTCGAAAAAAAGTAATATTTTAAATAAAACATATATTGTCTAAAAATGTATGTCATTTTTCCTTGTTTATTGAAACTTAAAGACTTATTAAAGTCGAGCTAGAGTTTTATTGAAACCTAGCTAAGTTCGGTGCTCTGAGGCAAAGACCTTCCTAGGTATAAGATCTTTGCTCTGAGGTTATTAAAAGCCAAGTCGAGCTAGATATCGATTTGCAGGTCGATTCGGAGATCATTTCAAGTCAATTTGATCGACCTGAAAGAAAAGCCAATTGTCCATAGCTAATATTAGATACATGTTATAAAACATAGGCTTAACTTAACTATAACTCAACGCTGACACAATAATTGGATAACAATAGCACTTTGTTTTTCCAACAGCCTTAACTACCAATAACCAAAAACTAACGCGCGCACGTTGTGAGCGTTGAGTTTATACCCCTCAAAAACCAATACCAACTACCCCTCCATTCTAAGGTGGAGGAAATATCACGACGCAATAGGTATCAAAACCAACAACTTTTAAATAAGTCGCAACAAACTGTATTAATAAATTATTGATAAATTATTAATTAGATTAAATATGTGCCATAATTATAACACTAAGTTATAGTACGTTCCCCGATTAATTGCTTAAAATGCAGATCTCCGATACCCACAAGGTTTCATTATTTCATCATCAAGTAGTATTCAAATCGTTTTTCGATACACTCATATAAGTATTCAAGTACTGATACTTTTAAGATTTGTTTTATGGGAATGATGTACTAAGATAATACAATGATTGTGATAAGTTTTCTTATTGCGTAAGGAAACCTATGAAATTACTAGTATTTTAGTTTATTGTTATTATTAGCAATGATACCTCCCAGCTAACACAATTTTAATTTAAAAATTTGTTTATTTGTTGCGGCATTGCTGAACTTTTACTAAACTCATTTGATTTGGTATTGCTTAAGAACTGAATGCTCAATTATGGCCCCTATCACCATTTAATAGCAGGCGGTTGGTACAAGTGCCACAAATGAAGTCTGAATTAATTCAGATTCGGAAATTGTAAAGTAACATTAATTTAATTTAGTCTGATTCGTCTATAAACATGATACCCCGTTTACAAGCCGCTTTACGTTAGCGTCGTATTGTTATGATTATATAATAGCGACTCTTTCAATCAGAGTTCTTATATTGTATTTTTAATACATTCATGTCAAACTGTTTATTTAAAAAACATTATAAAAAAAAGCCTGTCGAGTTTCTTTCGCCGGTTCTTCTCAGCAGTGGCTTTCTTTTCCTAACTGGTGGTAGTATTTTGACTACCATTAAGTGAGTGTAATACTCCTATGTTGAATAAAACTATTTGATTTTGAGTCTATACTCCAAAAGTAAATGACTCTGCGTTCATTGAAGCAATGTAAATTTTCTATAATTTCTCATCGTTGAAACCTTCCCTGAACTGCCACAAATATTTCAAAACCAAAATTAGCCAAATCGGTCCAGCCGTTCTCGAGTTTTAGAGAGACTAACGAACAGCAATCCATTTTTATATATAAGATTAATAATAAAAGAATTAATCTAAAGGTAACTTTCCGCACGCAGTATTCTATGCTCAGACATGTACGATAAGCCTGTGTACATTGCGTACGTTGTTTTTTCGCAAATAAACAAATAAAAGACGTTGATATTTTCGTCGGTGTGGCAATCAGCCGTTTAGCTCAGTGGTTAAAGCGCGAATCTGGAAGGCATGTGTTCGAATCCCGCAGCGGTAAAAATCTTTTCGTCCCTTTTTTCCACAAATTTTAATGTTTAATCTTAAGTGCTGAGATAAGCACAATAGAAAATTAAAGAGACTCATATTTGCGTCACTTACTTAGTTCAGCTGCCTACAATCCCACCCCGATCCTGAACGTAGTACCCCTTAGATGAAAGGCAAGCAAATTGTCTACACAGGTAGTATAACAAACGTTGACTTTGCCTATCTCAAGGGATCGAAATCAAGTCACAGCGGCCAGCACTTTTTCGACAAGCCCGTATTTATCTAAACTGACACCACAAGGGCAATGGAGTGGTTGATATATAGGTGCCCCTAGACGGATTCCTACAGCAATGTATAGATAAGCTTTCATCACCGAGTAAAAAGTGAAACCAATAATTCGATTTTTTAGATGAGACGCCTAGAAAACGGGCGCGATCTAAATCACCGTTTATAGATGGAAATATAGCTTACTCTACTCTGCACCAAAGTAATATATCTCTGTTTTTATATTTATACCTTACTCCAATACCGTCAAAACGAATTGGTCCCGTAGCTTAAGTCCAGTTTAATTCATTAACTATAATATTTGTTTTAAGATAAAAATCAATTTCGTTCAAAAAGTCACCGCATTTGCAAACTGGACTCGAGCATAGAAGGTACGTAAATTTATGTCCAAGAATACAATGTCACAAGTAGTAAGCGCAATATGCGAGAATATTAAAAATATTTTTTTAACATGATCAAAAATTTATTTAACTTTCATTTCAAAAGACATTCTAAACTTGGCAAAGAAGAAAATGCAAAGACAAAGGCACCTAAGAGGTAAAGTGAATCTTACGGACTAAGTTAATGCTGGGTGTTATTGAGTTAAAAATAATTCTATCGAGAATAGAAACCTTTTGTAAAAGTTAATTTCACATTTGGAATAATTTAAATCGTGACCAATTTTTTATATTGTCTAATAATTTCGATAACTTTACCTTGCAACGAACTATTGTCTAGGTACCGTACATAAAGTTTAGATTTCAATTTTGAAATAATTTGATGAATTCCCAAACTAAATTATTCTGTTCCTATCGGATTTTCCTGCGTAACGCCGACGACAAAATCTACAATATTCTCTTTATAAATAAATCAGTCTTTTCGCTGCAACATTGCCAAAGATGTTGATAAATTTCCGGTGTATGCTTAGACACTTGGAATAGAAATAACCACTAGTTTCTCTATTCCATGGTTAGCCACTTTGTTCAGCAGAGTCGTTCTGTCAATGGAGTTAAATGCATTCCTGTCAATCTTTAGAAGTACGTTAAAATCACTTGTAGTTCGAACGGAATGTACAGCCGACACAGTCGCCTTAGCTTCCAAAGCCTAGTTGAACAGGCTGGAATTTTGTTTTAACACATGCTAATTTTAAAGTTAAACGTCGAAAGGTAGAACCAACAGCAATAGAATTGATACGATCGTCTTTTTTCTTAAATGCCCATAATCTAGCCCCGTAAAAAAATGGAAAAATTTATAATTTATGTTTCCAAAAAGCATTAAGTTGTATAATTTTGTAATGAAGAAATTACCGGGATTATAGCCGGAAGTGCTTACAAGATCTTTCAGATTTTTGAGGCGTTATACCGTCAATGCCACCAGCGGAGCAACTTGAAAACTACATAATTGCCTCTTAGTGTCTTGAGCTGTAATTTGCAATCGCTGATAAGAAGTATCGGGAGATAGTGGTAAAAACGGCGAAAGATGTATCTAAGGATGTTTTTGGCGGATGTTTTCTAAAGCCTCATTAATGGGATCACTGTCCATAATTTTAGGCTCCCTAAATCGAATTTACGGGGAAGTTTAGTTATTTGGTGGGTTAAGTTTATCGAATTTAAATAATCAAAAACAACATTTCCCGTTCAAATATTCAATTTAAAATGGTTTTAGACACTTTCAATTTCATACAGTTACTAATAGAACAAAACTTAGGTACGATTTTTTTTTGATTTCTTGAATCTTTAACTTACAACATTACAAACACAAGACAATAGCGCCCTCTAAACTGACGCCAGTTAAACGCCGGTTAACGCTTGCTCGCAGCCCGCCATAATAATCTTTTGGGCATCCGATATCATTGGCTGTAAACAATTCTGTAAGTATACTTTACTAATATTTTGTTGCAATTCCAATAATAAGTGTAATTTTTATTTAAAAAAAATAATGTCGTTATAAAAATAAGATTACCATGTATGTACCTGTTATGAACTGTTGTAATTACCTAATGGCAGACTCCATTAAATCGACTTGGGAGTTAGGACCAAGGAATTGTAGTTTCTCTATAAATTGTGACTATACTATCAGTGTTATAAAATTTTGTAAACATTATTTCTTTTAAATACCGAGTTATATACGATTAACGTAAGATTGGTTTATTTTCAAATAAACTAATTGTCATTAAATTTAACCCAAGCCAAGCGTCCTAGACAGGGGTATTGACTTTTCTTCAGATGTTTTTCTTTGTTTAATATATACGTATTTTTTTAACATCAATTTTTTTTCCTAAATTTGTGTGAAATTCTTAATATTTTTAATGTGTATCGTTTAATTCCTCTACGTTTCTATGTTAGAGTTGATATATTCTGTCTGTTTTACACTGTGTGTAATGTACAAAATGGATGAAATTCACCAAATTTCGTTAGTATTTACCTTATCACTCTTGTTGAATTACAGATTACCTGTGTAGGTGTAAATTAATTTGACTATAATGTCTGATGATGGATCCACGGCTGTTGAAAAGAAAGGGCGCGGCAGACCAAAATCCAATGGAACCCAATCTGTGAGTGCACTTTTATTTTCGTATTTTATCATTATGACAAATTCAACATACTTTATATACTGATAGCATAAACTACTACTGATTTATAGGAAGCCAAAGCAGATACTAAAAAAAGAGGTAGACCTGCAGCACCAGCTAAAACAAAGGAATCAAAAAACTCCTCAGATGATGAGCAGGCACCAGTAAAGAGAGGAAGAGGAAGACCTAAGGGATCTAAAAAGAGTGCAGCCCCAAAGGGAAAGGTAGGGAATTAAAATAATGTTATGTGTATGAAATAACTAAATTGTTAATATTTGTTATTGGTTTGCAGGGGGGGTCTGGAGAGGGGCGAGGTCGAGGTAGACCACGTAAAGAAGCACCACCTCCCAAAAAGGATGCTGCTTCCACTGAGGAAGAACAAGATGAAGATGAAGAAGAGGAAGGATCTGACCAGTAAACATGTCTAGTTTCTGAAGAATACTTTCACTTTTAGTGTAAATTGTTTGTCACGATAACTCTTAATCGCATATGGAGGCAAAGATACAATTTAAAAAAAATATTTACATAAATTCTAGCAGTTATAGTAGCTGATAATGGCATTAGGGGTTATCTTGGCAGTACAAAAGTCTCAATTGAGATTGTGCTCCCAAAATTTAATAAGGTGGGAATAACTGAATATTTTGAAATGTAAGATAATTAGCTGCTTTAAGAGAAATCTTTTTTTTTTTTTGTGATTTTATTGCATTTACTTGAACTATTTTCTAACAGAAAATTAAGTCTCACATAATTAAATTTTGGGTTGACTTAGCTCTCCCTAGAACGTACAAGTTTAAGATATAATTTGTAAGATCATTTTTGTAGATTCTATTCTGATAGGTATTTTGTAATCTCTTGATTTATATAATAAGAAATCAAATAATACAATTTTGTGGACTTATTTTTGACTTGAAGTCGAGTATTATTTTCTATAATAAATATTTTCATTTCCATTTAGTTTACTTTTTTCTCCCTCGGGTTATTCATATTTTATTTGTTCACCATTTTTGAAGTATTTTACTAAAATCAATATTCTCTTGTAATATTTTGCTGTCTCGGAGACCTGTGCCATTTTGTATCAGTTGTATTTGGGGCAGATTGAATGCAATTACTGTTTTACAATATGATTATTGTGTGTAAGTGCGTGAATGTAAAATTTTAGAATGATATGTAATAAATCTATGACAACTATGATCAGTTCTTTTGTTAGTAAGCCCAAATGTCAAATCATCAAATTTTATTTGTTGCTACATAATTCTTATTTAGCAATATTTTCAATCAAACAATATGCAGTACTAGTTTTAAATTTTTATTTCGATACATGATCATTTCATAGTAAAAGTATTTTTGTTAGAATAGTCAAATAATAAATTGTTGAACTAACCGACCTCTCTACTTTCATCAACAAAATGAATAAGACATTGCAACTCGAGTTTTCGCGGCACTGTTAACAAAATATTACCTTACTGTTACTCCGAATGAACTTTGTTTTCAAATAAAATAATGTTTGCTCACTTTGATATCTCTGAATTATAATTAATAGCGACAAATCTTATTATGAAGTGCAATTTTAAATTTAGCGAAGGCCACACTCGGTAATTGTTTTTGGCTCATAGGCGAGAGTTATAATTTGAATTAGTAGGTTCATTTATTTTATTATAGCATGGTGTTCTGAGGACTTTTGTTCAACAGTGGACGTCTTATGACAATACAAAAAATTACTCTATTCAAGCAATTATGTTTAACTTTCACCTAAGTAAATAAAGGGGAACATTTAAGTTAAGAATTTGGAGCATACATCCATAACCATCATACTACATATCACTCAATCGGAGACAGTAATCAAAACCTTTAGGGACGTCCCCCGCAAACTGTTAGAAATTAACTTCGTTAGTATCGTTACATAAATGAATAAATGCCTCACCTGTTGACCGACTCGTAAGAAAATATTTCCATATAAGACATTTGAAAAAGAACCAATTCCAGCAATTTGTAATGGTTACAAATCGTGATATAGTTTGAAATAAACGTTAAGAAAAGCATATGATGCAAATAATTTATTGAAGTATTTATCTAAAGTTTATTTTAAAGCAACCTAGGACAAGTCCTTAATATAAGATAAATTAATATGATATACCAAAAATCAATGATATTATATAAAAAAATTACACAAATTAGTGTAACTAGATTGCAATCCCGTAGACTGATATTAACTATAGAATTGCAATCTAAATAGTTATTATTTATAGACTACTCAATATTTTTAATAATTTTCGACTTGTAAAAGTTTACTCTCTTTGTCAATAATCAGTAGAAAAGTTTAGAATTTCAGGGAGGCATTCTCTAGCAGTTTCAAGTACTTTTGAAAAATAATCTTTAACTCTATTATACCTCTACGCTTCTGTGCGTGAATCCGGAAGTCGTAGGTTCGATTACCACAGCAGTGAAAAATTTCATCGTCCGTGTTATCTCCCAACAGTTTTAAGTAGGTACCTTTGTAAAGTAATCTTTACATCTATTATTCTGTTATCTATCCATAGCAATAGCATTAATTGACTTCAATTCATGACTTTAATTAATTTTTCTTTATTAATAACATAAGTTTTTTCGCATCATAAAAACTTATCTACATTAAAAAAAATATTAACATTTTCAAAATATTTTAGTTATTTATGTACCGCTGTTCACAAAACTGATTGGAACCAGATCATTAAATATTAAATTTTTCGTAATATTAAAAATAAAAGTACTAAAATCCGTATACACTTGTTTAATTTTAAATATAAATTCACGAAGTTCAATGAATTTAATTATAAATTATAATAATTCATTAAACCGCATCATTAGTTGGTAAAGAACAAATACATGTATATTCAACATGATCTTGTAAATTATATTGTATTGTTTTTATTTACCTATGTAATGTAAAATTATGAAATATGTACACGGCTGTATGACCCAAGTCTTTGCCCAAATAGAAGCTATTTAAAAAGAAACTCCGCGTTTTCCGTTTCGTAATGTAAGTTTTGATTACTGACTTGCGTCAGGCAGATATACTGGGTTGTGTTCTTTTAGCCGTGAAAAATATTTGTGTTCAAATATTTCTTTTACAAAGAATAGAGATGATATTTCAGATTTTATTTTGTGAATTTGATAATAAAAGATAATTAAACTGTAAGTGAGCTTAAATTGTGATTCGGTTTTGCCGATTGCGTGCCTTTTAAAACTTTTCAAGTTGATCAGTTCAAAAGTTTACTTAAGTGCATGTTTACTGTTTTTGTGTACAAAAGTTGGTTTACTAGCAAATTTTTACCTGTTCTTCAGTATTACTATCAGGTTGGTACTGCTTTTGTTTGGTAAAAGGGGAAGGAAGTCCTATAGTATTCAACTTGCTCATAGAAATACCGTGCGTGACACAGGTAGGTAATGCAATAAAATGTGAACGTTGTTACTTCGTATTGAAGTTGCTTAATCTGTTTTTTTTTTTTGGAACCTCCAAAACTTGTTGATAATTATTATTTCTATTTAATCGCTTTTTTACTGATAATTTTAGGTAATGCTTTACCGTTATAAGAATAGTATTTGTAGTAAATATTCTGTGTAACTTTAGAAGGCAAAACACATTCTTATAAAGTTTACAATAATCCGGCCGTTTTAGGATTTTTTTAAAATATTTGTTATAGAATATAAAATACTTCTGCCTTGTTTTACAATAAAGGCCAAGGGGATTGCCTTGTCACCTTTGTTTAAAAAAGTATCTTCAAAAATGTATTTTTTACTCGTATAGCAATTTTTTGTTTAAAACAAATTAATAACAATTTTAAGCTATAGACACTGGACACAGGTTTATTTTGTTGTCCTTTTTTATTGTATATCCTTGATTTGTACTTTATTTATGAAAGTGCTTTTAGCTAAAATCATATTTGGGAAACAGAACTGTTACTGAAATGGATTTAACAAATACATTGAAAATTTTGTATCTTTTTTAATTTTGGTTATACATATTAATCATTTGAACTTTATTTTGTGTAAACTAACATATTATACATTTTTATTGTTATATATTGTTCAATTTTTAATTTTTAGTGCTAGTTTAATGATTTAAGATGAACCTTAAAAATGTGTAGATAAAACCGTTGAAAATATCCCACCATGCTGCTTCACTGTGGATTGGTGAATTTTTTTGTTGTTATTTATTTCAAAAATATGCAGGTTTCCCCATGATGTTTGACCTTGACCGATGAGTGTGTGATAAGTCAGCACTTAAAGTTGACAGTTTCATTGGTGCCGGCACTGGGGCTCTAAGATTAATAAATGGTATCAAGAAATGTACTGTTATTAATATAATTATTTTGTACAGCAGCACATCATTCTTGGATATTTGTGTTTGTTGTGCAGAGCTTTCAAAATATTTCTGTCTTGCTATATTTTTAGTTTTAATAATAATGCTATCTGTGCAATATTAATATAATAAAAAAGTAGTATTTTATGGTATTGTAAAGACGGAGTTTTCTCTATAGAACTCGTCTGATCAGAATTCTCATTTGGATGAAACTTATATTAATTGTCAAGTGCTAATAATTATTATAACCGTTGACGGTTGACGCGAAACCTTTCGCGGCCCCAGTCATGACACGTGCCTCCGCATTCTGGTACAATTGACCATACACAGCCGTCGCAGTACATCGATGATTATTGAATGACTATATGCCGCGGACGGCGTTCGCATCCTAATTGGCTTAGCGTGCACTGTGTAGTGCTTTTAGTATGACTCAATCCTATTGTTAAGATAACCCTTATGACTCTCGCGACAAAGGCTAAAACTGGTTGAAAGTGTAGCTGTCGCAATCAATACTATCATTTATATTATTAATTATTAATTTAAATAGTTATCTCTGTTTCACCCAAATCGATTGAGATCGGCGTGTTCGAGTTCGATTGACGATATCAAAAAAGGTAATTTCGATTTGGCTAATTATTTTCAAACGTACGTAACATCGCGCCGGCGAATGGCAAATCCGTTTAGTTTGGATATTGATATCCACCAGCTGTGTTGTGATGGAATGCTGTAATCAGCTATTTGTTTGTACCGGACCACTTCTTCCACCGGGTCGTTGCCTCAGTGAGTCAGACTCACGGGTGCCGTCATTATAGGCGCAATCATTACGGGTCTTTTCGTGCGGCTTCTAATTTGGTTTTTATGACGTTCTCTATCTCGGAGTACCAGGTAAATAAATGTGCATTCAACTAATAGGATCATTGACGTCATCGCGCGTTAATATTAACTATGAATTTTAATCTGAATAAAAAAAGGTTAAACCGACTTCCTGTTTAATTGGCTGTTATGGTTGAAAAAGTATTTAAAAGTGGTACTTTATCATGATACGATAAATAAATTCTACATAGTATACAAACTAC